AGAACAATTTGATGAGCGACAACAGTTTCACAGCAACTGGATTGAAGCATAGAAGCAAGAAGTTATCAGCTTCTGTCAATGTAACAGTTTCAATATCAGATGTCAACGACAACGCACCCGTGTTCGTCTTTCCGAACATTTCCTTCTACGAAGTTGAAGTTGCAAAGAATGTGGCCAACTCGGTGGGCAGTGTAGTGGCCAGGGTGCAAGCGGTCGACCCTGACGACGGGAAGAATGCAGCTGTCAGGTAACACAAAAGTTTTCATCTATCCATCATAACTTATTTTATTGATATTCTTTTGAACAATGCTTTTTTGAAAATTATTCACATTTAATTTTATATGCCGTAAACACAACACATGTACTTTTATAAATTTCCAATGTTAAAAACAACTATTGCTTTGACGTTATACACAAAATCGATATGGCAAAAACATTAACTTCTTGAACCCAGCAACAAACAAAACCTCGACAACTACATGACACCAAATGAGAACACGAGCAACAGGATTTAACATTTGCCAGGTACGAAATTGTTTACGGCAACGAAGATAACAAGCTCAACGTAGATCCTATCACCGGAGTGATTTATGTCCTCAAGCCGCTCCAACGAACTTCAAAATATACATTCAAAACTGACGAACGCGAAGCCTCTCAAAATAATTCCACTTCTTCAACGGAATTGAATCACAACGACAAATTGCACAAAGCACAAAATTCAAACTCGCCAAGTGAACGTGCCAATTTAATTGAATTTGATACTAAATCCGTGTACCATTTGGTCTTGAAAGCAAGCGATTCTGGCTCACCGAACAAATCTGTCACTGGCAACCTCGTCATTAAAATTAGCAACTCGAGCACCAGTAGGGAGAACGTCTTCCTCTCGAACGTCTCAGCGGCGGCAGCAAGTGGTGGTTTGACGTCGCTGATGATCACGATCGCCAGCAGCATCATCGGAGGCTTCCTGATAATGAGCTGCTTCATCTGGGGCCTGGTCATCGTCTGCAGGATGATGAGGAAGAGACGTCTCGGTGGCAGGCACGATGCTTCCATCTACTCCAAGAACTACCAAACGGTTACTAAGAGCTTTCTTTCATTATATTATCACGCCACTCGTAGGAAGCTCTATAAATTACTTTATTATTTTTTATTATTATTATCTTTATTGTTGTTGATGTTTTTGTTGTAATTATTAAACGTTAATAATGACAGAATAATATTGCATTATTATTATATAGTGCTGTTTATTATAACGTTGTAAAATGTTGCACGCTTCCAAACATAACAAAACGACCAGCTCAGAAATTTGATTGATTCTGCAAACGATTTTGCAATAATAACAACTGAAACGAACCCAAACTGTCGCCAGCAGAACTCAATGGACAGTCTAAATCAAATGAGCAAAAGTACGAAAGACGTTGAGTTGGATCGAAGCGTGAGGAGTCTAAATGTTAATCAAAGTTATAAAAACAAAAATGATAAAGAAGATACGAGGAGATCCTTGCCGAACTTACGAAGAAACACCGATTTATCAAATGTCCTGCTCACGCAATTGACGTTAAATCAGAATAAACTGCTCAAATGTAGCAGCAGTTGTTGCATGAAAAGTTTGTTTTAAATACTATTTTCATATTTTAATATTTCGATTTAAACCATAATTATTATTTTGGCGTTTAAACAATTTTTCTAGTTCAGAATTTATTTACAATAAATGCTTGCAATTATTTTCCATCTCACTCGCTGCTCTGTGGTTGCCTGGTTCGGAAGCAAGTATAATTTCAAACTTCATGCACAATATGTAGGATCCAGTGAATTTGTATTGATAATTTTGTAATAGTTTTTTTGAATGTAATCTCAATTTAATTAACTTTACTCATTTGTTTAAAATACTTGTCAACTTTGTTAATTGCAATTTTGTTTTATTTATGCGATTTAGTAAATAAGATTTAATATTTCTTGAAATTTGATCTTCGTTTGAGGCATGAAGCGTTGTTTGACTCTTTATTTGTTTGTTGCACCACTGAATTTATATTCACAGTGTTCGTCCGCTGGTCTATTTAACATCCCAAACTGGCTTGCAACATCATCAATTTGTTTTTTAATCAAAATTTTCTCTCCTCTCATTAATAATATTTTTGTTTTCTTCCTCTTCTTAAATGATCGTTTTTGTATCTGTTTTGATTAAAAATCTTTCCAAAACTTCATCAATTTGATTTTTGAACATTAATCTGTTTATAATTTATTTATTTGTTTGCCTGTTTTAATAAAGTTAATTTAAAATAAAAAAAATTGTTTTTAAAAAAAGCTAGAAAAAAAAGGCATGTTAACAAATTTGAATCCTTGGATCGCAAGAAGAATTACATAGATTATAAAGACGACGATGCCGAATACGCGGGAGATGCTGAAGAAAGAGAAAGAGCGACAGACAACAATTGCCACAATAACAACACTATTAACAACAACAACATTATTAGTAACAGTTATAACTATAGCAACAACAACACTGACGTCATACTGTATACAGTGCCTTCTACAACCAAGTGTCCTTCAAACATTGTTAGTTAATTTAATTAAATTCCGCTTAATATCATTGCTTTAAAAAATTGACATTTTTTTTATGTTTCACGTAAAACTTTGCTGTAAAAATCATCTTGAAATCATCATACAAAAGTAGAAAGAAATAAATATGAGCCGCCTTAGGCACGCATTATATTATTAAATCATGATGCTGCTTATGATCATGGAATAACCATGATTGATTTCTCGTCTCCAGCCTTCCATCAATAAATCCAACAAAATTATTATTCTGCACGTTGTAATGTGAAGCTGTATTTATGCTGCATCATGCAAGTCTCCACAATTACCATCACATCTGCTTTTATAATCATCCTTCATTCCCTTGCCTGCCTGACTGACTGCCTGCCTGCCTGCCTGGCTGCCTGCTTGCTTGATTGTTCCATCTTTTTGAAAGAGTTTTCTGATGTAAGAAATATTTTTGTGAATAAATTTAACAAAAATTTATTTCCTGTTTAATTTAGGTATCGATTTGGGTTTTCTATTGATTTGAGCTTTTGTATTTATTAATTTTTTTTCAAATTTAAATTAAACCAAAACAGGCTAAAAAATAACTAACGTAGAAAATATGCCAAACTCGCAGATATAATTTAGACGTACAACGACGATTAAGACACACATTTTGAAAATCTGATAAGAATTGTAATAAAGAGATATCTTCTTTGAAGTGAATTTTAATGTTCATTTATCATTGTATGAATTAAGACTTTTAAAACTTCTTTTAAACTTCAAATTTAAATTTGTTCATTTTGTAGGCTATATAAGTATATATATTTTTATATATAGTTAAAATGTTTTTTATTAAATCCGCCAACAATTAATTGTGACCCATTGGAATGTTTGGTTATTTTCCTTCCATGTTTGAACCATCTGCCTATTAAAAATTAAATTGTTGAGCTGATAGACTTTAAAAGACTATAACAAATTTTGCTAATGAGCGTGCGCTGTGCTCAAATAGCATAATACATTTGCATAAATATTTAAAGAATGATGTGAAAGATATAAAAGTAATCTGCAAAATATTTTTTTCTTTGAAACCAGGCATTTTGAAAATTAGAAACAATTCTAAAATGTAAAAAAAATTAAAATGTTGATTTTTTTCGTATTGAGTTGCAAGTTATTTTTTGCAATTACAAGTACTAGGAAATAAATTAAATTTATTGACATGCCAGCTAAATTTTTATTTTCAACTGAATTCGTTGATTTTATCTCTAGCTTTTTTGCATGTATAAATTTTTGCTGCCTCTTATTCGTTCGAGTTAAACATGCTACGCACACTACTTCAAAAGAAAACGACGTGAAATTTACGACCGTTCTTTAATTTAACATTTTTCCAATAGAACAAACTGGATGTAGTTTTTTTCCATGTTTCGTTGTTAAAAATGGAATGTTAATGTTAAGGTTGGCGAGTGGCCTGACCGCAAAATGTCAAGTTGACTAATGTCACACAGGAGTCACACAGGACCCGCAAGCATTCTTATTTGGAATTAGTCAGTGGTTGAATACTTCACTGCAGCTTCAATTTAATTTCAATGCTATCTTGACGAGGACGACAAATTATTTACATTGTTTTTAGGCTAATCACTCACGATGACAAATAAATGTTATATTTTATATATATGGCAAACAGCTTATTTTCGATAACATTACTTTAAGAAATTTGAATTTTGTTTTTCAACGTGATTCAAAGTCATCCACTTAATATTATAACTGTAGCAAATGACGTTGTAAGATTATTATTCATTTTTATTTGCGTAAAATTTCTTTGAGACATGAAAATGCTCCAACATCGAGAATATCAAGAGAAAAAGAGCGGGTATAAGAAGGCGATCACAACACGAAGTTGAAATGATGGTGGAATAATATGTCGGACAGGTTCGACGACGGGCAGGCAGTTTTATTGTCTCTCTGATAGATCGACATTCAAATTCGATCAGATATTATTCAGCCTGTTCGTCTGCTGTCTTTAAGTGCTCTCCTCAATTCAATTCGCGTCAATACAAAAACATCAATGCCGCGTTATTTTTACTTCTATGGCTTGTGTTAATATTAATGTTGCTATCATCAATACGATCGTATGTATCAGATGTTTTGTGGCTTTAGCTATCTTAGATTTATATATTCTTTATTATTTCAACTCTCTCAGAGGCTTGAGCAATAAAAACAGCGTGCACGTAGGTAAATACACGGCATTCAAGACATGACGCATTGCACATGGTGGGCGAATATCTCTCTACATACAAAACAGTTCACTGAAACAGCTGGACCAGGCACCTCCACCATTTAATATGATAAATCATCGACATCGTCAATCAATCAATCAATTAGCTTATAAAGCGCTATTTCCGCGATGTTCAACAGCGCTCCTCATGGAATTTTGAAAACAGATGGGTCTTGAGATCCGCTCTGAACTTCGCAAGTGATGGAGAAGTAGTCAGAGAAGTAGGTAAAGAGTTCCAGAAAAAAGGACCAGATAAAGCAAAAGCAGATTTGGCAAAAGAGTGTTTAACACGAGTTAAGAAAAAGCGAGAACAAGAAGACGATCGTAAACCGGGGTGTTTAGGTTCAATTAATATATCTGATAAATACTTAGGAAATAACTTAGATTGAGACTTATACATGAACGTGCAAATTTTAAAAATCATTCTATATTTTATAGGTAGCCACACGTATTATTACTCACCTGGAATAACATTAAAAGATCATCACATTCAATTGAAAAACCCAAATTAGAAAAATCCTTATCCTTTTTTGCAACAGAATAGAGGGAGAAGATATGTTTTGAAAGGCGTTTGATGCCAAAAATGCGAACCGACTTGAAACTTAATGTCGTTGTTAGGCTTCATTCGGGACAGTTTTTCGCGCAGATATCAGATTTCAAAAGCATCGTTAACTATAATTAATAATAATATCATTGTTACTATTATTATTATTACTATTGTTGCTGTAGTAGTAAAAGTAATAATAATAGTTGTAATATTTTTATTACTATTGCTGCTGTTGTAGTAGTCGTAGTAGTAGTAGTCGTAGTAGTAGTAGTAGTAGTAGTAGTAGTAGTAGTAGTAGTAGTAGTAGTAGTAGTAGTGATAAATAGTAGTAGTAATAACGGTGGTCTATCATAAGATCTTTTCTTTTTTGATCTCCGTATCATTTTTATTTCTTACAATTGTTTGATTTGATTTGATGAATAAATAAAAAAACATTGAAATATTGAAATAAATAGTAATAGTAGTAGTAGTAGTAGTAGTAGTGGTGGTGGTGGTGGTGGTGGTGGTGGTGGTAGTAGTAGTATTAGTAGTAAAAGTAGTTGTAGTAGTAGTAGTAGTAGTAGTAGTAATTTTTTTATTACTATTGTTGCTCTTGTTGATATTATGTTATCGGCCATGAAATAAGTTGCAACATAAATATGACACTTGGTGTTTTTGAGCATTTGTTATGAGAGCACTGCACTCATCAGTACTTTTTTTCGTGCGGTTTCTTGTTTACATAGTTTCATTATTGTGTTTATTTGAAATTTGATTTTTGCATTTTTTGAAGCGTAAACATAGAAAAATAATTTGAAAAAACAAATGAATTTTCACACACTCACAAATTCAAACCTGCCTATTAAATAATATTTAATTGCCACTTTCATTCATTCCAATCAAACCAACGCCATTTACGCCGTTCACTTTGCTTGCTTCAAAGATGGACTAATTAGAGATTTGAAATGTTATTATCAAACAGTTATCAAATGTCACCGCTGTCAGAAACTTTGCGCTATGTTTGTTGCATTGTGTTGTGTGTGCTACCATTTTCAATCCAATGTTGATTGGTATGACAAAATCGTGCAACTTGATTTACTGTTAATCATCTGAATGTTGTCTCTATATCAAAGGCAAAACAAAACATCATTAATACGTTCGCGAAAAAATAGTGTTTCAAATAGTTTTGTAATAATATTTTACAAAATTTAATAAACTTTCAAACGATTTGTCATTTGGGGTTAAAACTTTGAATAATTTAAATAATGTTTGAATAATTTAGATTAACTTTATTAACAAGCAAAATTTTCCATTAACCAGGTCACGACAGGCATGGAACTAAATGAGAACCTCCTTCCAATAAAATGTACTTGCCACAGTGACTTGACTAGTAGATCAAACAGCCAAACAGCCACACCGCTATGGAAAATGCAGAAAATGCGACGAAACGTTTTAAAATCGGACGGCAGCGGGATTGAAAGCGACAGTTCGTATTCAGACAGCGGCAGGGGACTGAGCGAGGATGAACGGTTCAAACAAATAAACAGAAACAAAATATCCTCCATATCTTTGATGACGCCAATGAATGGCCTTTGTAAGGTAAGCACTGCCGACGTTTTAGCTGTTCATGAAGTTCTGTGCGCGAATAATAACAGACATCTCAAAAATCAAAACGTTCAAGTTCCTTCTAACGCTTTCGTGCATCAAGATCCAAACGATCTCCAACAAGCAAACGAAAAAAATAGATTCCACAGAACATTACTGAACAGAATAAACGAGAAGCAGGATGCAGTGGTCTCGAGGCAGGATGCAGTGGTCTCGAGGCAGGATGCAGTGGTCTCGAGGCCGTCTCCCTCCCGTCTCGACTCAACCGAACGAAAGTCTCACTCCCCTTCGAACGATGGTACCATACGCAGGAACTGGTCCGTGGCTGCCAGTGAGTTCTAAAAACTCCTTTCGAGTTGTTTTTATGATGAAAATTAAATTTAAAATAATTTCTTCTTCTTAGGTGAAGTGTGATGCAAAATAAAGCCGTTAACAATTTACTTTTTATTATCTAATGTTAATGAAGTGTTTGATTGGTAATTTATAATTATGAATATTATTTATTATTATAAATAATATTGAAAAATTATTGTAATAAAATAATCAAATATAATAAATAGAGTTGTTTGCATGCCAAAAAAAAAACTTAATAATTTAAATAAACATTTGCGAGTTCTTCCAGGGTGAGGGGGCATTTGTGCTGCAGCTGCATAAACTGCCATAAGTTCCTCCTGGTTATTTGGCTTACTCGATTTTTTGCTGCTTCTTCCTAGCTGTTGATTTTGTATTGACGTGTGTATTTGTGAACTGATAACGCTTATTTATTACAGTGTACCTGATGGATAGAATTCTTCTTACTACAGATCTAAATAATAATTTTGAAAACTTATAACCAATCAAAATTTGAATAAAGATGTTTAAATCTACCAAAATCATTTGCCTAATGAGTGCGTGCGGCTAGAGCAGACGTATGTGCTTGTCGCTTTTTAAAGTAAGAAATATACGATGTCGGACCCAAGAGAGGGGTGCGGGATCCCCACAATTCCATTTATATATTTTTTTATGTTTATATTTTTATTTATTTATATTTCGTTTTGACTGTTATACACTTGTTTCGTATCAATAACAAACTAGTTTTAACAAGCATTAATTAAAAATAACGTTTAATATGAGGAAATAAATGAAAGGAATTTTTTGTGTTATGGATGAAAATTTATTTTTCATATTTTTAAAAATCATTTTCAAGTTAGTCTTGTAAATCGATCATCATGCAACAAATTTAAATTAAAATTTTTTGTAAAAATTATTTTCACTGTTGCCAGATAAAACATAATACCAAAAAACAACACACTTTCATCTCTTGAATGCTTATAAAAAAGTATTTAATACACTTAGCTATTTTTGTTCACGTTAAGCTCTAAAAACATGAAAGCTGAAAATAAAAACTTCAAATAGAAACATATTCTAATTTGCATAACTGAGTTAACGCACACACCCAACAGAAATTCATAGAGATACAGTTACCAATTTTTTTCGAATAACAGGAAAGTGTAAAAAATAGCATCGTTTTAAGAAATTGTTGAAAGGACAGAAATGTGCAGAACAACAGTTATTATTTATTTATGCGCAATGTTCAATTTGAAAACCGCATTCAATTAACCTGGATACAAGTATGTGTTTAATGTAGTTAAGATGTATGGCAGGGTGAGTACAAAAATGCTGTGAAGAAGGAAAACGCAGACCATCGGTTGAAAATTTGCTAGCTTTTAAATTAGCGTAGATCATCACACCAAACCGGGAACAAAGACTGGAAACATTATGAATATCCGCTGAATAGGAAGAAGGAGCGGCGGTAGAGATGTATACTTTATAAATAATGCATGGAGGCACTGCATTAGGCGTAATATTTGGAGTGATGTATCACGTTGAGATTTCTATATTTATTTCACTTCTAATTCACCATGATCGTCGCATAGGACGCATATGTTTACGTTAGCAGTAACATTTGAGGTGCTCCTATATTTATCTTTTGTGTTTCGTTTTATTCAAATTATCGCTAAACGTTGTTCAGACGTTTATAAACACGTTGAGAGTGTTTTCCTATATAAAAAATGCTGTCCTATATGCCAAAAAGATTTTATATCAAATTTGCCGAAATGAATTTATATTGATGAAATGAATGGGTCTGTGTACAGACATTTTTTGGCTATTGAAAGAAATTAATAAAGATTGTGTAGCTTCGTTCTTAATGCAACTTGATTCCATTGAGATTTAATTCAAATCCCCTCAAATTTAATTTATGTATGCTTTTCTTCTAAATGATTCTAAGCTTATGAACATAGGTGTAATATTATAAATATATATATATATATATACATATATATACATATATATATATATATATATATATATATATATATATATATATATATATATATATATACATAACTTGTGAGAAGAGCTGTAAAATTTAGCACAACAGTACAATACTCTGAATTCACATGAATGCTTTATGGCGACTGAAACAAAATTCGAAACGGACACCTAAATCATTTTTATTCATAAACTTTTCTTAATAAAAAGCTTATCTTTCTCTTTCAACTTCACAAAACTTACAAATGCAAAATTGCATGTTACACTGCAAAAAGTTTACCGTACACCTTGTTGCACGGCATTTTCCCGGCATAGCATCACCGGTTGTATTGTAACTAAAATTTTGCAGCCTTGCAGCTGGTTTTCTGTCCTGTTTGAAAATAAAAGAAATAATAATTTCAATTCTTTAGTGGAAAAATCAACTAAAATTTTATTCTTTTTAATTAACAGGCCGGTTAAGGAAAAATATTAAAACATGAAATGGCTGGTTATTAAATGGTTATAAAATTCAAAAAATTTTCAGGTACATGAAATATGACATTTCTTATCAAATTTTTTGCTCGTTAAAACTATGAAAAACTTTAGTAAAAGCTTTTCTGTGAACCAAAAAACGTTTCATTCAGTGCTTGTTTGATAGAGGAGGTTCTATCTTATCCATTGAGGTGCTTTCATCTCCCTTCAGCACATAACTTTCCTAAAACTCCTAAAAACGTGGTTCATTCGTTATCCTCAAACTTTTAGGAGTTCCTTTAGCTTCGCAAGTCAGTTTACATTCGATTGTATCTCACCATAAAGTTATTACACTATTTTGCAAGTTTGATCAGCATAAATTTATTCCCTACTGCTTTTCAGAAATTTTCCATTTTTATTTGTATCCGACACACTTGGACATTTCATAAAATTCACTCATCCAAGTCGATTACGTACACAACTCCATCAACAAACTCCGCATGCAATAACCGGCACAACTAGCAAGGTAACATTCCACAAAGTTCTAATGACAATAATGATTTAACTTTGTTTACTGGATCTTAATATGTTTAACTTTTCAAGTAACTGAATGAGCTGCGCTAACGTTCAATCGACTACAACAGCCATGGTCAGGCCTAACAAGCACACGTACATACGCAGTTCAAATGTTGTGTATTACCAAATAAATACATGAATTAATTGTGATCTACTTGTTTGTTGAGTGAAGTGATCTTGAAATTATGATTTGTGGCATCAGGGTTTTCAAATATCACAAGCTTATGTATATAATAACTAAAACAATAGAAATGAGTTGCAAATAATAATCAAAATATCCATCAGCTAGAAAATAATAGCCAACACAGAAAATGAAGTTATCAAGCCCAACATGAACGCACAATGATAAGCATTTAAAATGTAAAGAAGTTCTTCAGTAAAAATCGTCATTAGATCCTCAAACGAACAACGCCGCCCAATTATTCTACTGGTCGGTTGTTCGTCATTCACTTCTGAGATTCTTATTATTTCAAAAAAATTTGATTGTCAAAGAAGCATAAAAATAAAAAACTGTGTTCAATTTAAACAAATAAATATTTAAATAAATAAATACAAAACGAAACGAAAAAATAAGATAAAAAGCAAACCACAAATTCATACAATTGATAAAAATAAAAAATAAGCAAGCATAAAACTGAAAATTTTTCATCTCGAAGACATCTTCAAGGATCATCCTTGATTCATACATCTTTGAAACAGAAATGAATAAGCCGTGTTCATTATAAAATATATAATGTAGATGGAATTAATGAATAAGTTAAACAATTGAATGCTCTTTGCATGGCTCACATGATATCATTCATTACACGTTAACAGTAAATTTGAAGCACCGTCCAAAACATCCTCATCACATATGCTAATACATCTTTAATAATACGCAATCTTCATCACACACCACAAAGAGATGTAGTGACACAAGTTGATTGATGTCTGCCGTCGTCAAGGCATCACATTAAATATATAAAAGGAAAACCATCAAGCTTACCACCAATTACATCAACATAAAATAAAAAAATGGAAACACCACCCACAGTATTAAACAACAAAAAGAAATAACATCAACATAATATTGCATCACCTCTATATATATATATATATATATATATATATATATATATATATATATATATATATATATAGTATATATACGCATTAATAACATTGCATCATCCATCATAATTAGAAATTAATGACATCACATCATCGCGAATGTTAATAATGGTTAATCCATCATTTGAGTATGAGTTGTTTCAGAAAGTGGCCCACCAGAGCCACCCAACTACTCGGCGTCCCGTTCAGGGATCGGTATGTGGGGGTACCTGTAGCAGTATTTTGAAGTTGCGAGAGGTAAAAAAAATTATGATGATTATATCGTTGTACGATTTTTATAACAAATATTATAAAAAAATCACGAAAAAACTTAATTATGGAGAGTCTTTAGCAAAATACTATCTTAGAAATAAAGCTGCTTGATGTCTATGGTGGTTTATTATAAGAAATACACGAACAAGTAGATGATCTACCTGGCCCTGAAGTCTTTATCATCTTCAGAAAATGTGACGCCCTCTATTCTAGAATATTTCAAAGATAGCAAGCTGCCAACGTCGTCAATGATCTCCAGAGCCTGCATGTGCATTTGTTTGATATTTTAAAAAAATCCTATTATTAATAACCCATTGCACAAGTAAATCAGACTTTAGCCTTTTTTAAATTCATTCACCTTTGTTGAAATACTTAATTAGAAAACATTACTTAAAAAATTTAGTAAACTATGAGAAGTTAAAAATAAACTAACAGTGTCAATCATTTCTTTAGTGTGGGCTCCAGAGAGGCAGAATCGTGCTCTGGATTCGATGATGGGCGTAGCTGGGAAGCCAACAACAACCGTTGCCAGACCTCTTTTCAAACACTCACGACTGAAAGCGCTGTAAGAAATATCAGATACGGTTGTGATAAAAAAATATCCTTTACAAATTTTACTAAAGAGCTTGCCAAACTTGTTACCTGCTATGCATTTTTTTATAAACCTTCATTAAATATTCAAATAAAATCGTACCATAAACTAAAAAAAATATTTTGAAACTCTGATGTCAAATATATATAAATAATTTCTACTATTTAACAATACATTAAAATTAAACTTCATGATGAATTCCCTAAACCAAATGCAGAAGAATAAATCTCTGCAATCCAAGCTGTTGTAATGAAAAATAAAATAGAAGTTAAAATACGCGATCTTGGCAGGACAGAAAAGTAGAAGCGGAACGACTGGTGAGTCGATGTTGCCATATATAATGAATCCCATCTCTTGCAGACGTCTTCTGAAGTATCTGCTGTTCCATGCCAGCTGTCCTAGCCTCTTTTTGCCTGACATCAAATTAATAAAAAAAAAAACAATATTCCAATAAACCACACATATTCACGATATCAAAAGAATCTGGCATATTTAAATTGGAATTAAAAGCAAGTGAATGAAACCTTCAGCTGGATCGTTTACGCCCATGATGACCTTCATTGAGGAGATGATTTGCTGTGCCACAGGCGGCGACATGCTCGATGCATAACAGGCACTGTGGGACTTCAACCTTATGAAGTCTATCAGCTTCTGTTCATCATTTCAAAAATTATTTGTAAAAATTTGAAAAAATGTTCTCTATAGATATTTGTACGGAACATTGCAAATTTTCTAATTAATTAATCTAAAAAATTATGCATCATCTTAGTTATATTTATAACGAAAAGGTTAAAGATACTATAACAATTGAAAATGGCAGGGCAGTATGAAGACATCAACAGTAAGTTGTACTCTAAAAAGTAGTAATGATATATTGTAAGAGTGAGTAGGCACAACTAACCTTCGAACCACCAATGTATCCCCCAGCTGATCCAAAACTTTTGGTAAAAGTACCCATCATGATGTCAACATTTTTTGGGTCACACCCCCAGTAATCCACCACACCCCTGCCCCTTGGTCCCAGGGCTCCAATGCTATGCGCCTCATCAAGGTACAAGTAGGCTTTGTACTTCTTCTTCAATCTGATTACCTCTGGCAACTTTACAATTGATCCCTCCATGCTGTTTTTTTATTAAGGTTAATGATGTTTGGATGATGTACAGTTGAAATTTATTGCCGGAGATTTGCAATTAAATATTTGATATTACTGAAATAACCAGACGCACGCACGGCACAACCAAGTGCAGACAGATCAATAGAAATTATCACTTTACAAAATCAACATAAACTTGCTGACTCCAATTTAAGCTGTATTCAAAACATAAAACAATTCACATCTCAAAAAAATGAGGAAAACCAATGAAAAAGAGCTTACCTGTAAACTCCTTCAACGATGATCAAGATTTTCTTCCATGGTCTGTGAGTGTGAGGCTGGCCATCAATTATATAGTTTTTCAACTTCTCTTCCAGGTCTTCCATGTCTGATGCAATGATGTCATCAAGTAGTTGATGCAATGATGTCATCAAGTAGTTGATGTAATGATGTCATTGAATATTTTAAATACCATGCAAGTCACTCTCAATTGAACACTAAGCAACGATTCCAATTTGCAACACTACATAAAGATTAAAACACAGGAGTTACTGTGTTTATTTAAAAAAAAAATTAATTGAATAAACTTTAAAAATTGAAAGTCAAATATTTAACAATAAACAAATAAAAAATACTAACTGTTGTGCTTAAAAGTTTTGATGACAGCTCCTGACAATCTGGCCCCAAGAATTAGTGAGGAATGATTAAGTTCGTCACTCAGTATCAAGCAACCCTGTAACAATGTTGTAACAACTCTCATTCAATAGTATATTAATATAAGCATATGAATGTGCATAAATGTGCATATGAATGTGCCAGTAAAAATCCTTTGTGGCATGGTTGAGCACTTTAAAATAAAATAAAAACATTTATATGACTTTCAATTGTGAAGATGAGTTAGCAAAGACTAGTGAAAATTGTAGTGACAAAAAGTTAGGAAAACACATTTCCTCTACATTTATAAAGCAACCTAATTATTAATCATGCTTCAAACAACAAGCACTACCTTTCCAACCAGGGTAGGAATATTCATGGAGTTTGTAGCAAAACCCATGCCAAATGCTATTGCCGATTCCACCCCAATAAACTCTGCCACCAGACTCTCTAGTTCTTTGTGCAGAGAGAGATTTCCTATAAGCAATCATCACCATAATCTTTATATTCGTCAGTGCCATGTTCATCTTCATCCTCGTCATCAGTTATTTATACTTAATTATAATTACAGCTATCTCCATTGCTTGCAGGTAAAAACCAGACTACACTCATTAAACATACCCAAAATAACACAGTCCAAAGCATGAAGACAACACTTTAATATTAACACATATACAAATACACTGACAACAAAATAATGAAGTTAATTGCAATCCAATAATATGTCTGCATTTAAAAAATCCCACCAAGTTCATGTCTAGTGGAGCATGTACTAGGTCCATATAGTTCTGTAGCCTGTTGGCTCTCATCAGCACATCTTCCCTTGTTTTCAGCAAATCCAAGATAATTGTAGGAACCCATGTTCAATGCTTTCGTTGTTGTGCCTGTGAAACTGTCATAATTCATAAATAAATAATTTGCAGCTAAGCTGTAATCAACCAATTCAAAAAGAAGTGTAGTAAAAAAACATTTCCATCATAAAGCTTAAAAATTAAAAATATTTCATAAGATATAAAATTTCACAAATACAGGTGAATTAAATTAGTTGTTATAATGCTAAAAAACTAACTGAAAAGTCCAGCCTCGATCACTTGTTTTTCGATCGATGATCTCGAACGTCGCCCCAGGAACCGATGAAATCGGACGGTTCCAACAATCTCTAATTCTTCTGTACAAGTTCCTAGTGTAGAAACTTTCAAAACTTTGGTAGAGAGGCACAAAACCCTTTATAATGTCATCATTCAACATGTACATTTTAAATACTTCAAATACAAAATTTATGAATGAAAAATATCACATCCTAATCAAAGATCAACAAAATTTTTGAAAAATTAGAAAGATCATATCCTTCACCAAAGAAAGCAAATTTTTAGTAATGTGTTTGGATATAATAAAAATACAAGTTATAGTTGTTTTGCAGTATTCAAGGAAGGACACATTTTAACATACATTATACATAATTTGTATGTGAGAAAACAAATGAATAAACATACAAATACAAAAAGTAACTAAAGAAAGAAATGTAACAGTCAAAAATTTGGAGTTAACAGTATTGAAAATCTCAATTAAATTCACTAATTAAGAAGATGACAACTAATGGAACAACAATAATTATTATTTAATAAAAAATTACCAAAGTATATAAACTTTTTAAAAGATTTACTCAAATCTTAACTTAGAGGAAAGAAATTTTATGTTGAGTTAAATTAACATTATTCTGCTAGAAGCTAGACACTTTAAATTTCTAAAGAAAAATAATAAGATTAAGAATAAATAAGAAATGTAGTCATTTTTATAAAAACAATAAAAACATACATAATATAATTCAAATTATTTATTTATTTGTAAGAAATTATTTAATTTAATTAAATCTTAAATAAATGTTGAAATTTGAAAAATGCTGAATTAAGTTTGAAAAACTAATTTAATTTAATTTAAATAATTAAAATACCAACACTTTCAACTTTCTCAGTGACCAATGGATTGTAAAAGACATTCCATTTTCTTAAAAAATCCCCTATATGACCAAATACTATTAAAATACCATAGCCCAAATACGTTAAAATGGCTATAATGAGTGGCGTTTCCTCAAATGATTCCAAACTTTCAACATCTTCTTTTGATTCGCCATGGATATATTTTTTATTTAAATTCTGAAATGAAAAAATGAAAATGATCATCCTTGAGAATAGAATTCATCTGATTTTAAAAATCTTATATCTTGTTACAAATTAATGAAAGTCAACAGTAAAATAAATTAAGCAAGTAGTTTTGACAATTAAGTGATAGTTGTGAGTAAGTAAAGTAATGGTAATCTAATCAACCAATCAATCACCTGTTTTTCTTTTCCTTTCTGCTGCTGTGTATATGATCCGTTACGTTTCAATTCGGTGGGACAGCTATTTGTATTTAGTAGCGAATCACAAAAATTCAATGATTTCATGTTAAAAAATATAAATTATCCTCTTAGTATGAAACGATTACTTTGAAGTTGAAATGACGAACCCCACCCCTACAAATAAACTCAATGAACCAGCGCCATTAAGAGATGTAGCGATGTCCACGTTGGAAACGAATAAAATTAACAGCACTTAATTTTTGTTATTAAAATTTAGCTGAGTGTTGTAACGAAACCAACGGCATTAATTTCTGTCTGTTTACTAATGCGATGAATTCAATTGAAATATATAGGCGACCTCAGCCCATTGTTTGATATGCTATTTAAAACCAGACATTGTTAAAGTTTTACCTGTAACAAACATTAAGTCAGGTAAACCGACCAAGTGCACGATTGAAAATTTCTTATATGAAAGAATAACGCAACTTATACAACCGAATCAAGTTATCTACAATTAGGCTACAAATATTTGATACGCAATATTCAATATTGTTCTAAACAATGTTGTTTTCAATGCCATAAATTTGAGTTTTTCATGTTTTTGAGCATTTAGTTTAAAACGCTTAGTAAGATTCAAATCTAATATTCCATGGATATTACATTGTTCCATGCATATTAAAATATTATATTATTACAATGTTTGTTGTAACAAGGTTCCTATAAAGTATAAATCGCTTAAATTCTTGTGTTATCAGCTTTAAAGATGTCTAAGTAACGGTATAAGCAATCAATCTAAATTATTTCCTAAATACTTAACAGATATATTTATTCAATCAATCAGTTTATAAAGCGCTATTTCCGCGATGTTTAACAGCGCTACTCAGATGGGTCTTAAGATCCGCTCTGAATTAAACCTAAACGCCCCGGTACACGATCGTCTTCTTAAACACTCTTATGTTAAATCTGCGTTTGCTTTTTATATCCCTTTTCTCTCGAACTCTCTACCTCTTTTTCTTACTACTTTTCCATCATTTGCAAAGTTTAGAGCAGATCTAGACCCAACTTTATAATTCACAGACGAGCGCTGTTGAACATCGAGGACATAGCGCTCTACGAACTAATTGATCCACTAGAAAACACGAGCTTAAAAATCGTATTTATAATAATCTTTTCTCAAATAATAATCTTTTCTGGAGTCGGATAAAAATTGTTCTATTCTGGTCCCTCAAAAAATTTTCTTGTAATATTGAAATTTCATCGTAAACCAAATCCTCTTGCATCTGTCGAAATCTCATCGTAAACAAATTATGGCTGCTGAGGCTACTTACAATCAATTAATAAACACGAAATGAATGGGTAAAACCGGTTAACAAAATGTTTGAATATTTTGCTAACATTTTTACTTTCTACATTTTGGGTTGCGTGATGGCCTAATGGTTAAACAGCGACCGGGTTCGATTCGATTATGACAAACGATCCTTTTCTTTCACATGTTCCGTGAGTGACGCGTCTTTTAGCACGTATTCATATACAAAGTTTGTGGCGTGTTGTTGATCCCTCTGAGCTTAGGAAGAGTGTAATTGACCTTTTACCTTTACGAATTTTTAGCGACTTTAAAACAGAAAATACATTTTCATACACAGGAAGAAGAGTAGAACATATACCGCAACAATTATTAATACCTACTTTTCAATCCCGATTTATAACTTGGCAGATAATAAAATGTTTTCAGATAAAACGTTTAACATACGCCATATGAATTATTTCATTTTTTATTATAAACATCGGATTTAAATATTTTTTTACACTTAATTATAAACAATAACATAGAAATTCAATAAAAAAAATTACACGCAATCAAGACACGGTCAGAGTTAGAAGAACATTGAAAACTTTTTCATCATATAATGTTACTGTTTATGTTTGAAGATGCAAAAATGGACTTCAAAATGCCTACGATCCCTAAACCTTCATCAATGAAATCAATTCTGTCTTTCGAGACTTGTAATAATTTTGACAATTGGATTAAAGATAACGGAAAATCCATCAGCTGATCCTGATAAACATCTGCAAAAACATTTACATCTAAATACTCGTCACGACGCCATTTCGACATTATAGGATGATGAACAATAAAATTTTTTAATAAAAAAAATCTTTGAAAATTTTCAACATGAGATAACTTTAATAAGAAAGATATACCTAATACTGTGTTCAAAACTTCAGTCACAGTGCTGATGTGTGGAGGAACAAAATTTCTGTAAAATGAAAAAGTTATTTATTATAATAAATGCAAACAAAAAAATCATGATAAATTTAACTGTTATTTGTAAAGGATATAATGAGCATCATCCATCATAACTGACTTTAAAAGGAATGTGAGGAGTGAAGCGAGATCTTTGTCAGTTCTGCCTGCAAGAGCCCCATTCAACGCCTGCCTCCTCCTCAACTCGTCCAACATCGTCATGGTGACTTCGGGATGGATTGTTCTCAGTGTTGTCTTTTGAAAAGATGAAACAAATATTTATACACTACTTGATTTTATTTTTTAACAACTATTCAATAAAACCATTGCATAGTGAACCATTTGTCAGAAAACATTAGTTTAATATTATTCTAAACATTTATAATATTTATAATATTATAAATGTAAATTTATAAAATTATAAAAATAAAAAATATAAGGTGATATCTTATAAGCAAGGAATAATTAAGCCTATGGAATGACAAGCTATATGAAAAAAGTACTTATAATAAAAAATTAAATAATCAAGTTTTAAATAATCTCAGATTATAACAGTCTGAAAAAGAAGGACATTGATACGAAAGAGACTAAAGTCATTCACTAACTTCGAGAACTTCATCCAGTGCTTTAGAGTACTGAAATGTTTTTAGATATGTTTCATATTTACTTAACATTTCTTTCCTTCGATGATGCAACGTGACGTCATTACCATCAGCACTAGGTTGAAACTTCTTAATGATTGGGACGGAAGAATTTGATGACCTTTTCTTTCTCATCCTCTTTTCCAGCCTCTCTCTATCTACCTCTTCATCTGATTTGCGATGTTTCAATGTTAACATGCCATCAATTGATCCAGTGGCTATCAGGCTGTCATCAGGCTGAAAATTATTTGTTTAAAACACATGAACGATTGCATACTAACAAATCCAAAATACGCACATAATGTGATCACATCTCATCATAGAATGTAAAAATCACGAAATGCAATAACAATACGACATTTTAAACCATGGGATTAGTTCTACACATTTATTTCAAAGTAAAACAATTTTGCAACAACTCATGTAAACCTTTAATAAAACATAATTGAAGTTAAGCAGAACTAAACAAAAAATGAACCAACAGCTATATCGATGGAGAGGAGGGGTGTTGGGTAATCAAGAGAGTAGGTCACGTTGTTGGTTGATATGTCATAAAACTTGACATGCCTGTAATGTTTATTCATCAGTTCATAAACTATTTTTTACTTATCAATCACTTAATATTTTTGTACTGCTGTTTGTATAGTGTTACTCAAAGAGACCTCAGGTAAGGCCTGAGACCTGCTTCAAACACCATAGAGCACCTATGGGTCATATTGAGATTGAACACAAAAATATAAAAAAATAATAAACAAGGAACCTATCAAGAGAGGCAGACACCAATCTTCTTCTGTTGTCACAGAAGCACAGACTTGTGATTGTTTTGTGGTGGTTGTTCATGGAGCCCATCAGCCTGCCACCCGATAAGACATCCCACAACTTTATGGACGTCCCTCCTATTTCATTTTACATCAATTACATTGATCATTATTCAAAGTTTTATTGAATAAATAGTGATCAACTAAAAGTTATTCCCTGGTTTCAATCAGAACTCAATAAAAATTTAAACTTGTATGAAACTTATGAGCAAAAGATGAATAGAGGCAATCATTGTTATATTGACCTGCAGATGCAATGACACCAGCCGATGGATACATGACGACAGATTCTACAGGATCGCCATGGTTCATTGTCAGGACACTGAGCTTACATCGCGAATCAAACAATTTCACTCTGTGATCATATGATCCTGAATAGATAAATATAGAACACTTCTTGGATTTTTCTACAAGTTGAAAAATAATGTCAACAAAAAATGATTCAATCTAATACCGACCAGTTATGAAGAGATCATTAGATGCTCCTTTGTTGCCACATCTCACGTAGTCCTGTTACCAAAAAAAATACTTAGTATCATTATAACAGTGAAAGTATAAATCCTGCAATTTGTTAACAAAAGTCAATTTAGGAAAAGTTTAACTAAAAAAAATAATTAATTAAAATTTTTTTAACAGAGAATCTATCAAGAAGATATTAAGAATAAAGAAAAACTGTTAGAACCAACTTCATGCTCATTGAATGTGATGATTTCAGATTTGGTAGCCAGGTCCCAAATCTTAACTGTTTTGTCGTCTGATCCAGAGAACAATTTATAGTTGTCCAAGAATTTTGCTAAATAGACAGATCTGAACAAAGCGAGTGAAATAGAAAATTAACATCATTGATTTATTTTTCATCAATATTAAGAGCCTATGTATGCTTCACTAGATCATTCCAACTAACAAGAGTACTGGTATATTTCATTTAAATCAGATAAACAAATTAAAAAATGTATCCATGAATCAGATATAGAAATAAACCGGGTAAAAGGACATGTGTGTAAGTATTACATCCTTATATAATAAAATTTGGTTCAGTACCTTAAAAAGTTTAAATACATTTTTCAATTGTCAGTGTAATGTTGCTAAAAACATATTAATAAGTTTAATGCTATTTGTGATTTTTAAGTGACAGACAACTCAATTTTCCATTATAATAAAATTTGTAAATAAACTGAAATTAATTTAAATTTAATAAAATCAGGCTGACCTTGAATGCCCATTGAAAACTTGTTTGAAATGTTTTTGATGGATGACCCACAATGTGGCATCATCACAGCCAACAGTTATCAACTGACCATCTGACCTGTAGCATGCTGATCTGACCACATCGTGAAATTGATGAGGTGTCTTCGAAGGAGCATTTGACTTAATTGAATAAACTTGCACCTGTGTTAATAATTTGGTCGAAAGTGAGCTAAGCAATGGAATCGACAATGAAACTGAAATAGCTTGTACTAACTCGTGTTGAATTGGCCACTAGATAATTGTAAGGTTCAATGGGAGAGAAATTGATTTGGGTCACAGCTCCTGAGTTTTTTATGGTTATTGGAAACTGTAAACAAGTCAATAATAATTAAAAATCAGATGAACTGAACTACAAGGTGGAAGGTCAAATCAAATAAGTAACCCACCTCAATGGTTATATTTAATTAAATAAAGGTTAAAGGTTTCTTTCTCTTTTGCGTTTGCTTCAGAGGTTTCAATGACAAACACACACAGCATATATGAACGCGCGTGCAAACCATGCATCATACACATTGCATATGATAGGCGGCAATCTCTTTGTATTCGAACAGTCATAGCAATAGCAAGACCAGGTGCCTTTAAAGTTTAAACATTGAGCCATCACACCAAATAGTTGAGCATTAAATTGACCTATAACATTTCACATAACCCACGTTAATTAATTCTAATAATTTAATTAATATTAATATTAACTAACAACATAATCATAATGCCATAATAGATAATAAATTATAAAATAATAACCATAAAAAAAGAAAAATGCTAAATACACAAGTAGCACCGACTACTATAGTAAAATTAAAATAACCTTTCCAAGTTAAAAATTATTATTTTTATATATTTTTTCTTGTCATTTTATTTTAATAAAATAATTTATAAAAAAAATCTAAAATGAAAACATTTTGATTTTTGAGTTTTAACCTGCAAATTTTTCCAATAAGGAGAATCTTTAAGCGATTCCTTGCGATTTAACAAGCTGTACGATTGTAAATGCAACTTTTTAAAATCAGCCATTTTTCACTTTTAACTATATAAAATTATTTAACCAGAATATTTATGAAATTTGTGAAATTTTATACAAAAAACACGTGGAAAAACAAAACGTCGTGACAGTTGGCGCAGGAATAAAATAGTTGAATCTTTATTTAATTTGGGCCTATACTGGCCTTCGAACGCACCCTTACAGATTTGTGTCTTCAAGTCTGGTCTATTTCTATAGTTTTCATGAAATTCATCAAACTTATCAACTTTAAAAATTTTTACATTTGTTAAGTTTAATAATAAATTAATTTTTTTAAATTAATTTATTAATTTTTCATTATAATTATTTTTAATAGATTTATTACATATATGTCTGTCATATAAATATTCTATAGATATATATATATAAAATATTTATATGATATATATATATGACAAACATATATATATATATATATATATGACAAACATATATATGTGTATATTATATATATATATATAATATATATATATATAATATGTATATATATGACAAACATATATATGTGTATATTATATATATATATATAATATATGCTAAATTACATAATTTTATTATGTTATATTATATGTATATTTATTTCATGCATTTGCATAATATTTATGCGTTTTTTAGAATTTTTTCTGGTGTATGTATAAGGCCTATACATAAATAGAATATATATTCTATTTATATTGGCCTATAATATAGGCCAACGGATTTGAGATCGTCGTGCTTGACAGACATCGCCCAAAATTTGGTTCTTTGTCGTCCACCACTTTTACATTATTCCATATATTACATTACCTCTTTTCAATTTTTCCAGTGGCGTAAAGACAGGAAAGGCCTGTTAAAACGACATAAAAATCTGAAGGAACGAACGAACATTATTTTATTTATGTGATTCCATTTAGAACATATGTATACATGTACATAAACATGCATATTCTATATAAGTGACTTAATAAAATTCTTAAACATTTTTCGATCATAACGTAATGATATACTTAGACGTAATCAGCGGCGGATCTAGGGAGAAAATAATTTTAACAAAAATTAGTAAAACTCATTATTTTCACCGAAAAAAGAACCGTTTTATGTTGATTATCGAATCGATTAAAAATGAACGTGATAAGCAAAAAAAGTCTTCAGCCATACTGTTACAAATCTTGGGCTCCGTCCACAAAATTTTGGCTCTCTTGTTAAAATTTACACATTTCAAAAATTTTGGCTACCCTTTCAAAGTTATCTATATCCGCCCTTGGACGTAATATTAATATTTCCCTATATCTTGAATCTATATTTGTCCTTTTGTATTCTTCTCATTGAGTGTCACCACAATTCAACTGCATCAAACTGTTAAATATCAAGTTTTGTTGGGTTTGATTGTTGCCAATGTCCTGAAGGGAAAAGACGCGAAGAAGGGTGAAGAATTCTTTTCATTGTACACTACTGGCAGCGAAAATAACTTTGACGTATCGCTTGTGTTTTACAAAAAAAAAAACAATATCAGACCTTCAACAATTAAAAAGCAGAAAGATAGCTAATTCCGAAGAGTAAATAATTCAAGAATTCAATCTAACCTTTGCCATCGCCCTTTGTTTAGTGTTGTTGTCTACTTTACTTTTTTCTAATGTGATGTGGCTGGTCAGAGAAGGCCAGCCATCGTGTTTTTGTTTATTTTTTGTCGATGATAAAAGTTTAATTAATTATAATTTTTTATTCAAATCAACATGTCCCCTGCGTGATTCGATTCTGTTTTTTGTATTTTAACGTTTGAGAGTTCAATACAACTTGAGATTTATTTTTGTTATTTTTATGTTTATATTTATTTCTTTTAATTTAATGATTTTGTAAAAAATTTTGTTAAATTTTGCATTCACACACAATTCAATAATCAAATCAATTAAAAACGGTGATTTAGTACCTTAGTTATCATTGCTAATTATTATAATAGAACATGAAACGTAACGCTATAACCATAGCCAAATATCTTTTCTTTGCTGCTTTCTTGCTTACTCTTGGTCCTGTAGTTGTGAAATTTTTTTTGGGGGATGCTGAAAATGGTTTCCAGAAGACCAGATTGAAGTTCCACAAGGCCAATTTAAAAGGGGCACTTCCAGTTGATCCTGATGACTTAAACAAAATATTTGAACCTGTAAGTAATGAAAATTCAAATTAAAAAACAATTCAATTTGAAATTATAATTTTTAATTGATTTGTTAATTAAATAAATGTAAATGAGAACATTGTTTTATTAACATTTGTTTCAAGTTAATTTGAATTGCACCAATAATCTTACTAAAAAATAATAATTTACCTGACAGAGAGAATGGACAGTTCCAGTAGCAATGAAGAGCGAAGATCTCACTCCAATAAAGAAACATCTTCCGACTCCAGTACCATTCCAAAAGAAGCCAGAAGAGCATGATGGCCACAGTGATGATTTAAAAGATTGGCACAATTATGAAGCCATTGAAGAAGAACTAAGAAGAACTGGTGTATAAATAAATATATGTTCATTGTTATAGTTAAACATTGGTTAAATTAATCAAATCCAAGGAATTAAATGAGTTAATTAAATGCATTTTGGCTATGAATTTGGACTTGTTTAGTTAATTTTTTTTTCAAATTTAATATTTTCATTAGTTTTTCCCCATTCTTAATATTAATTTGAGGTTTTTGATCCAGATTTCTACTAAATATAAAATAACATTAATTTATCAAGAGTAATTAGCACTTGTTTATAGTAAATATAATAGTAAAAAAACAAGTGTATGTATGTTATTCTAATGATAATAACTTCACCACATTTTCAGACATCAGATCTTCCCTGTCATCAGATCTATCAAATAAACATAATTTTTGCATGCTTATGCCATAATTATTTTTCCACACCGAAATCTCCAATTTAAAATGTTGATCAGGTCCTGGAGAGCAGGGTGTTTCTGTGATACTGGGACCTGAGGATGAGGAGAAAAAGAAGGACTTGTATTCAGTAAATGGCTTCAATGCACTGGCCAGTGACAAGATCTCTTTGGATCGAGCTATCAAAGATATCAGGCATCCTGAGTTAGTTAACAAACATCACCATCGTTCTTCATCATTATTATAGTTTGTTTTTATTATTATTCATGAGCATCTTTCTTTTGTCATCATCACAGTTAGTCCTTTACATTGTGACCATGGTAACCCTGACCATCAACTGTCATCGACCTCTTTATCATAATCATTAATGCCATGCCGTTCCTTTCAATTCTCAATATTTTATGGAATTTGAAATATTTTTCATGAAAGCATTTATATACATATACATTTTTTACATCATATATTATACATTTTTTTGTTTTTGCCCACTAGCAGCTTGCAAACATTTAAAAATAGTTGCAGGAAAAAGAAATACCGGCCAAAACTGTTGAATGCAAGCATTGTTGTGCCATTCCACAATGAGCACTGGTCGACTCTCCTGAGAACTGTAAAGAGTGTTCTCAACAGATCTCCACCTGAACTCCTACATGAAATCATCCTTGTTGATGACTTCAGCTCTAAAGGTCTGACCGTTTATTCATTTCCTTTTAATTCTCTACAGTTTGTTTGTTATTTGGGTTGAAATGTTAAATTTTTATAATTTGTTTTAGTTTTGAATATTAGTTTGGAGTGATGAATGTTTTGAATTGATCAGAACACTGCAAGAAGCAGTTGGATGATCATCTGGCCCAGAATTATGGAGGCAAGGTGAAGGTTATTCATCAGACCCGTAGGGAGGGACTCATTAGAACCAGGATAACGGGAGCCAAAGCTGCAATGGGACAAGTTAGGAAAAACTTTTTCTAATAGCTTACTTTTTATTTTAAATATCATTTTCCACCCCTTTAATGTTTTTTTTTTGTTTTCATCACAATAGTTCTGTTAATATAAAATAACAATATTTTCTCGAAGTTGAAATAATTGATAAGTTTTCTTTTGTTTCATTCAGGTGCTGATCTTCCTTGATTCGCATGTCGAAGCAAATGTCAACTGGTTGCCGCCATTGCTAGGTAACAATTTCTCTTCCTTTTTCACAAAAAATAAATTCAGGCTGATTTTGAGATGACTTTGTGATGAGTGTATGGCGAGTTAGCTGAGATAATGTCTTAGTGCTAGCGTTTGATTGATTACATATTTTTTATTTGTTATGTTAAAATCTAAACTTGTAGTGGTATCAAACATAAATCTCAAATTTTAGATTTCAAAAACTCAAATGTGTGTAGTGAATTAAAAATCACTTATTTGTTATTTTGATGTAGTTTTTTTTGTATTCTATTGTTTTGTAGTTTTTTATTTTTTACTCTTATCTATTTTTAAACAAGCCGTTCATACATTTGCATATTTGGAATTTTTTAGGCTTATAAAATTTTCAATAGAGCTAATATAATGATTGATTTATTGGTAACAATGTTTTAATGTAACATTATATACAATGAGTGGTGAGTGTGAGCTAAAAATGGTGCTGACCTGTTAATATTCATAATTAACATTTTATAGTTGGAATTATTTATCAGTCAGCTGTTTTCTTGGATGGATGGAGCATAAAAAAAACTTTTTGATGAACTCGTTTCAGATCCGATAACAGAGAACTACAAGACAGTGGTGTGTCCATTCATTGATGTCATCGACTACGAAAATTTTGCCTATCGAGCACAGGACGAAGGAGCCAGAGGAGCTTTCGATTGGGAGTTCTTCTACAAACGACTTCCACTTTTAAAAAAAGATCTACAGAATCCTTCCCAACCATTTAAGTAATTTCTTTTCTCTTTTTCTTTCTTTTTTTTTGTTTGCAAAAAGTGATAGACATAATCAAGTTAAAAAAAAACAAACTATTATTATTACAGTGATAAGATAGAAACCAACATTAATATAAATTAATTGTATTATCGTAAATGCATTGAAATATTGTATGTGACGAAATAGTAATATTTTGAGTAAATAAACTACAATATCCTAGACAGTAAAAATTGTATTGTTATGTCTAAATTAATTGTAATATCGTATGCAAATAGGCCGTAATAATTAATTAAAATAAGTTGTAATGTTGTGTGAAACAAATCAGGAGTCCTGTAATGGCCGGGGGGTTGTTTGCAATTAGTACCAAGTGGTTCTGGGAGCTCGGTGGGTATGATCCTGGTCTTGATATTTGGGGAGGGGAACAGTATGAACTCTCTTTCAAGGCATGTCAACAACATTGTTGTCACTTGTTTTGTTGCTTGTGCCTTTTGGCTTCTTGGTAAAATGGTTTAGGTTTTAAAGTGAGTTAAAAATTTTCTCATAGATCTGGCAGTGTGGTGGAACAATGGTTGATGCACCATGCTCGAGAGTTGGACACATCTACAGGAAGTTTGCGCCATTTCCTAATCCAGGGATTGGTGATTTCATTGCCAGGGTTTGTTCATCATGTCTAACCTATTATATGTATTGTTACATGTTTCCTCGTTTTAATATTCAATGTTTCCATCTAATTTAATGACCATTTGACACTTCCAAACTTCACTGTTTCATTTTAAAAATGTTGTCAAAGTTTCAATAAGATACGCTAAATAAAATTATTTATAATTTGAAAAATTAATTAAATTAAAATTAAAAAAATAATTAAAAATTTAATATATACTTATCGTTATTGTGTGGAACCCCAATGCATACAGAATTACAAGCGTGTCGCGGAAGTATGGATGGACGAGTACAAGGAGTTCTTGTATGCTCGCAGGCCTCACTACAGGACAGCTGACATGGGAGATGTTTCTCAGCAACTGGCTGTCAGGGAACGACTTCACTGCAAACCGTTCAGGTGCAGTGCAGAGAGCTTGTGTCATTTCATCTTGTTGTAGTTATTCAGATATATTTTTTAAATGTTAGAAAGCAAATGCGGGTTCTAAGTTTTTGAAATCGTCTATTCATATCTGCTTGATTGAAATTTTTTAAACTCTCCGTCTATCTTTTGTTGTTCGTTTTTTTTATTATTTATATCAAACTTGACACGTGTTCACTATGAACATTCACAATTGTTTGAATAATCTTATTAATTTTTCTGCTTCAAATTGAAAATTTTTAAGCTGACTAAAACTGTTGTTTCCTGCTATTCATTACTTTCCCCATATTTCTTTAACAAACGTTATTCCATTCATCCGATGAACATGTGCTTTAAAACAAAGGAGCATATTATGTTTTCTTTAAATTAATATTATTAGTTACAATAATAATTTTTATTTTTTCTACTCCACCATTCTGCATTCGTAGTCTGCATTGCAAGTCGTCGTCATCATCAACTCTTCAATCAAATATTCTGCACTTCCTAATTTGATCATTTGCTTACCAGTTGAAAAATTTATATTTTAGAAATCAATTTAACATCAACATTTATTGAAGAATGTTTTTTCAAGATGGTTCATGGCGAAGATAGCATTTGATTTGCCACTGAAGTATCCAATGGTTGAACCTCCAAATGTTGGCGAGGGAGAGGTTTGTTGATCATTTTGTTGTTGTTGTTGCTGAGATTGTTGCTCTTGTTACCGTTGCTGTTTTTTGGCGAAACTACATTCATTTGTCCATTGCTGTACTACTGAGCTTTTGTTATGAACTATCTTTAACTGGCGTTGTTGATTTAAAAATTGTTTGTTGTATATTGAATTATTTTATTTCAACAAGTTATTCACAGAACAACTTCAGCTGTTTGGTTGTTTATTTTATTGTTAAATTAAACTTTGTGACGTCTCTTTTGCAATATTATAATTTTATTTGTTGTTATTGTTTGTTGTAATTTTTGTTATAAAGTTTTCATAGTTGGTTATTTCTAAACATCACATCATTTTTTTCATAGCTACAAAATGTGGAAGGCAAGTTGTGTGTTGATCTGAAGTTTGCTTCGGAAAATTCTCGTTTTCAACTCGAAACCTGCCGATCAGCTGACCCTAAGATATCCGGGGAACAGGTGGCCTATTTGTTATTTGTGGGTTGGATTTCATGGAGTGTTAGGGTAAAAGTAACAATTCAATGTTAAACGTCTGAATAACTTTATTTCAGTTTCAGCGCCTGATGCTTCTTTGACATTAATAATATTATCCATTGTTTGAACGCAAAACATCCTGAAATGTCTTATGCCTTTTATCAAACTAGCAACTGCAGCTAACATGGCATAGAGACATTCGTCCGAGAGGAAGGTCTGTTTGCTTCGACGTCTCCAAGTCTGATAACAAGTCACCTGTCATTTTATACACGTGTCACGGTATGCAAGGGAATCAATGGTGGAAATACAACGTGGTCAGTAATCAATTATTTGTGTCTCCAACAGTTATCATTTGCAGTATCGTTTTATTTGTTGGGTTCGAAAGGTACCTGTCTACGCATGTTCACGTTGAGTTGTTAATATTTTCCGACAGGACACCCAACAGCTTCTGCATCCGGTTTCTAATTTGTGCCTTGACTGTGACGCAGAGAGGAAGGAGATTTTCATGAATCCCTGTGATCCTGAGGTGAAGACGCAACGCTGGAAGTGGTCTGTTTTAAATAAGGAGCAGGCCAGGAAGGAGTGGTACGCCAGCAAGTTCGAAGATACTCTCACCGAACCTGCTGACGACGCTAATTATTAGCTTATTTCTATTTTTTAATTTCTTTATTATTTTTTATTGCTGTTATATTATGTTTAAACAATTTATGTGTTCGCATCTCATGATGACTATCTTAGTTTAGCTACTAAATTAATGGTATTAATTTTTTAAAATTTTGGTGTAAACGAATTTCAAATTTCAAATCACTAAAACTCTATTATTAAAACTCTTAATAATTTCACGTTTACATATTAAGTATGTACATACACGCATATATTAACGTTTATACATAAATTTTTAATGTCTTTGTTATGCACGGATTCATTTCCCAGATATATGTTATTATTGCCAACAATTATTAATTTATTTCACATTTAATAAATCGGATTAATAACATGATATTGTAAGCAAAATTTTAATCGATCTATTTTTAACTGTGTGAACAATGTATGTCCAACGTTATTTTAAAACGCTTATTTCTAGCATTATATTATTTTTTTTATATTATAAGCTGAATACTTTTTTGTTTATATAGCGAGCATATCATTCTTAATTGCGGCATAGAGTTATTTGTTTTACCATAGTTTTCATGCAAGTGCACTTATTTTTATTGTAACTTATTATTATTATTGTTATTATTATTATTATTTCTAATTATATTACAACGCTTGCTCATATGGTAGAGAAAGTGTTGTTAAGGTTTCATTACTTTGATACATTAGCCCCGTTATTATTGTTTGTTCTGCCTGTATTCTATCCTGTATGCATTCCATCATTTACTCACCAAATTTGTAAATAGTTATTCTACGACGTTGTTTATTTTTAGGAAAACATGTTACTTGTGAATGTACACTTTCTGTAGAATTCATCGTTAAGCATTATTTTTAACTTATTGAATTCATGGTTGTTTTGCTCTCTCACTACTATACAAGTATCCGGGTTGATTATGATCATTTTACGTTAAAATTGTTTGAAATTTTTTGAAAAATGTTTAAAAAATGATCTTTCTGCTTCAACCGAAAAATTATTTAAATCGTATGAATTTATATTATACACTAGTTAACAAATGTTGACTACAAATGTTGGTCGAAGTCAATTTATAAAAATATTTTGGACGTTCATCCCCGACTTCTTTTATATCACCGCATTCCTCGGTGTTCAGTAGTCTGTACTTTATAATATATATGAATGGCAAAATACAACAAATCATTAAACGATAGTTATTTAGAATATTTTTAATTTTTATAAAATCTCTCAACAAACTTGTTTTTTGAAATTATTTTTTAGTTCTTATTCTATCCATGACGTGTGAAACTGATAAACACTGTTATAGGCCTGAGAGAAATCCCAAAGTCGCACAGAGATATAATTGTACGAATGATACAAAATAAGGTTGGAAAATATCGGGGTTGCATTGCTTTGTATTTCGTGGAGGTTCCACGCTAGATATGGTTGTCTCACAGTATTTTTTATCTTGTCCTTCCTTGGTTGATTCCAAGAGGTTATCTGCACAAGATATAAATTTGTGACGTCAACACTGTTCTTGTTTTCAGTAAAGTTTGTAATGAAAAATTACAGCAGGGCTATTTCGGTAGTAAATTTTGGCATTATAATTATGCATGCATAATCATTTTAAAATATTTATAGCGTAAATAATGTTACGCGCTAAACATTTATAAAAAAAAATCCAGGTAGAAACTATGATCGCCATGTTGGTTTCTTCACTAAGCAAGCTCAAATTTGTTTTGTGTTTATTTAGACTTGTAATTGTAATTAAGACGAAATTGTTTGAACACAGCTATTAAGAGCGGTTTGTTGTATGTTTTAAAAATTCTTCTTCGACATATAAAGTACTTTAAGAATTCTTCTTTGATATTTGAAGTAATGGATGTAGAAAAGTCAGAGTTATCTCATCAAAACGAATTCGCAAACATCATTTCACAACTGGAATCCCATCAAGAAGTAAGAACTAAGACGATAAAATAATCTTAAGAATAGAATAAGTTGATTGATAAGATAAAAAAGAGGCGCGTATATTGTATAGTATACGAATCCATTAATGTTTTAATAATATTTCAATTGATTTTATAATTATATTATTTATAATTATATTTTTAAAAAATTTGAATTAAATTAAAAACATAATTTTATTTAATTAACCACTTTTGACTTAAGTTAGTAAATTAATTAAACAAAATCAGGTCAATTTAAAATTGTAATACTTTTTTATGCATTAATTTTTAGGCAGTTTATGAAATATTTAACAAATGCAATAAACTAGAAAAGTCGTTGAAGTGTTCCAACGAGCAATTAGAACTCTACAAAGAGAATGAGATAAAACTCCTAAAAGGTGGGCATTTTTTAAATATATTTTTTTCTTAAATTGTACATTGTTCTGGTTATGACATTAAACTGACCCTCACTGCCTTGTGAGTGATGTTGGATCATCAAAGGCTAGGCCCACCGCTTATAACTGTGGTTGCGTAAGGAAGGACATCCTGCATAAAAATTAGCCAATAAAATATTTATGATGACAAAAGGGGTATTTCAGGTTTCGTCATAGGTAGCCAAACGGCAACCCCGGATCTCGGGGAAAATGTCGTCTAAACATGTGTTGTTGTTGTTTTTTTAAATTGTACTATAATTTGCAATGAAAACTTGGAAGGTTTGACAATTTTCTAAAAAGTTATTGTTTATTGTTTATTTTGTATAACAAATTTTTTTATTCATTAGATATTGATGAATTACAAAATGCTTTGAGAATTAAAGCAAGCAATAGTGTTAATGATTTCAACATTAGAGGTATTTAATTTTTAGAAATTAATTTCAAATTTGTTTTAAGTTTCTTCTATCATTTTGATATGATCATATAATTGTGCTCAAAAGCATGCTATTTTAATGTTATTAATATAATATCTCATTTGATAGAAACATTTTTAATAATGTAAAACAAAGTATATATCAATTTAAAAAATTATTGTTTATGTCAATGTTATACTATTTCAAAAGTTGAAATGGATAATATAAAGAATGAGCTGGAACTTATGAAATCAAAATTGAAAGAGAGCAATCAAGTTAGCGTAATAATTTTTTGTTTAAAATATTTTAAATGTTAACATTAAAATTTTTGGTGTAATGATATAGGAATGGTCATCTAAGAATTTAATTTTGGAAAAACAAAACGATGAGTTGACCAAGAAACATGAAGTTGAATTGCAAACCTTAAAGAACAAACATGAAACATTAAGTCAATTTTTTATAATTTGATAAACAATTAGTCATTAAGGTTAAATATTCTGTAAATTCCAGTTGAACAAATTACAATCAACTATCAAACTCAGCTTGAAAGCAAAGATGATTTTATAATGACTCAACAGCAAGATATTGAACAAATGAAAATTGATTTCAGAGATGAACTCAACAAATACAAAGTTGAAGTAAATAATTTTTATAAATTAAACAAATATTATTTTTTCCTTTTTTATCTTATTGCTGATAATATTTCAAAAATGTTTTACTATAAAGATGGAAGACAGATTAGTAAAGTTGCAACCTGGTTCAAATGGGAGCAATTCTTTTAATGAAAATCAAGATATATTCAGAAAAGTATATATTTACTATTACAATACTTTTTCATACAGTTTAATCATTACATTGTCTGTGCCATAGAAACTGCTACACGAGAAACAAGAATCTGATAGAGAGAAAGCAGGACTGAAGAGAAAAATTCAGGAACTAGAATATGCTGTACAAGTGCTACAGTCAAAAAAATCAGGACCTCCTATTAAATTATCAAGAAAAAACAACTGAGACATCTGAAATTTTAGTTAACGCAGCCAAACAATTTTTTTACATTGTTGAATGATTTTGTTTATATCAATACATTCAAGTAAAATCCTGTGCTATCTGGTTTTGTTAAGCTTGTGAACTAAAGTGTTGTATTGTCTTCAGTTCAGTTTTGTCGAAACTATGTCATATAAATATATGTGTGTATATATGTATATATATATATATATATATATATATATATATATATATATACATATATGTATATATATATATATATATATATATATATATATATATATACATATATGTACATATGTGTAAGTATAATACTTGCTTAATAAACTACATTCTTAACGCACCTGTGTTTAGCTGTGTATATATATTCCGCATTGTTAGCTTTGCTGGCACAATCATTCTTTATAATTTTAGGACGTATTAATGCTGTGGCAAATAAACTTGTTTTTAAAAAAAGTATAATTTGCTAAAGATTTTTGCAACTATGGGTGGTTAGCATCTTATTTCATGCTTTTTTAGTTAATTACGACTTTGGTATATATATCTCCGTGACGCCTATAAGTTTTTGTAAATGTGCATACCCGTAAGTAGAGTGACAATAAATATACACACACACATATATATATGTGCGTCAATTTAATTTAGTGTCCATAATTATTTGTAAAATATCAACGTCAACATTTTGAACCTTAACGGTTTTATTTTATATGTGGGACTAAACTGAGATCTCGCATTTTATCATTTTTTAGTTGTCATTAAGTTACAAATAGGAATTAAAATAACGCCTTTAAGATAGACGGTGACCTGGAAGCGTTAACGTCATATTCTTTCTATTAGCTAACACCTGAACCTACCCTACCCTTCATAATGAATGTGCATCATAGAACCTATACTGGGGCATCTCTTCATGATGAGTGTGCCAGGTCATTATTGTTCTCGTTTCCGGTAAAATTTGGATGGAAGAATGCGACAGGACAATACTCTCCACTTTTACTCGCTGCAAATCATTTTTATACTGAGTATCCTCAGCGCAATTTTGCCTTTTTGTGACATGCTTCTAGTAAATTGTCGGGTTTAATGTGGGTCTTTTTCATTCTTAATCATTAAGCTCATAAAAGAGAAAGCTGAATATTTCTCGAATTGATTTATATCTATTTTAATTTTTGATTGATTTGCATCATTTTTATTTGACATAAAAAAAATTTATGTTTTGCAGAACCTGTAGACGCTTTACATGACCCACTCAACTGTGAGAAATTTGTTTTTTTTAATATGTAAAATTGGTAATTTTATTGCTTTTTTTTGAAATGATAAATTATTTCTAATAAAATTCGTAGTGGGTGTAATTGCGGCAATATGTGGAGGATGTGGTATGTTGGTCCTTCTGATCATGTTGTTTCTCACTGTTGCCTTCATTCATAAAACCAGCTCGTAAGTTTATATCATAGTAAACATAAGTAGATCACAGCTAATATCTTTGTTTTTCATTATATTTTTGAATTTTGTTTATACGTGTTCTCGTTAGTTGTCGCGTGTCGGTATTTTGTCGATATTTTAATGTTGCGTCGGGGTTATGAATAAAATAACAATGAAAATTTAATAATCAGGAAAAGACAAATAGTAAAGAGTAAAAACGACCAGGCATCAAAGACAGCTGATGCGAGTATATATACGAGTCCAAACACCCAAAGTACACTTGGATTAATGTCTCAGATGAGTTCTCACAGTTTCGCCAGTTCACCGTCCGAAATATTCAACTCCGGTAATGTTACCCTACCACAGAAAACGATACAACCAGAAATCCATCACGGAGTCCACGACAATGTTCAAGACGTTGACAACAACAAAGGTAGTAGATGTTATATATTATATTATATACTCTTACATTCTCTTAAAATCATTATTTCATAAATTATTATACGATTAGGAATTCTCTTCATAAAAGGAGTTGACAACAGAGGCTTCGATGGTCCAAATGATAAAATTTCTGAGCTGGTTGATGAGCGGTTTGAACCAATTCGTTTCAGAAAAAACGAACAAAATGAATCGACAACGTAAAATGCCTTCAATATTTATCGCGTTTAAACTTCATGGTTTCAATAATTTTTACCGATTTTGTAAATAAACTTAATTTTAAGAACAATTTTGGGTCTATAAACAGACAATTTTTTATTAAATTATTTTCTACAAAACCTACACAGTTATACAACTTCGTAATAAGAAATAAAATTGATTTTAAGATTGTTCGTCATTACAATTCTTGTATGCCGACACAAAATAGAAATAATGTCATTGATCAGTGACATTTAAAATTCACTGTTTAGAATCTGTGCGTATTGTGTAGCGTCACGTCTTAACTGGTCCTTCTAATTACACATATGTAATTGTAAAGAAAATTACATGAAACACGTCAATGAATATTCGATCAGCGTACTTGGATAAAAGTCAAAATTAATACAGTCGTTTGACGCAGGTGACTGTTGAGTTAAAGATTTCGTACAAACAGCTTAGCTTACATCATCCACACGTGCATAATAAATTGTATGACGAATATTTTACAAATGAATTATTAATAACTAACGTAACTGGATTTCAAGTTCAGAGATTTAGATAGAAAATGTTAAAAATAAATAAAAATTGAATTTCAACAAATATTCAAGTTTTAAAATTTTAAATGACAATAAAAATTGAACCAATTTTGATGTATTTTAGTTTAAAAGTTCAATAGGTATGAAGTGAAATAGGTAGGTTAATGAACAATTGTGAAAAATTAACGTGAGGTAATGAATAAAACCATAAGTTTATTTCCCTATTGACCGCACCAGTAAGCAAATGATCACTCATGATGAACGATCATCTATCTCTTTACGACATAAACAAAACTAAAACAAACAACGGCAACAAACAAACTAATAACATGAAAAAAGATATTCACAACTAAAAATATCAAGAGGTAGGAGATAATCAACGGGAAATATAAAAGGATAACAACCGCGTTTGTTGTCTGATGAAAAGTGTGTACGTGTATGTGTTAACATTTGTTTTTTTTATCTGTTTGTTCATTTGTTTGTTTGTTCGTTTGTTTTTGGTTCATTTTTGGCGAGAGCAAAACACATGTACGATCTAAATTCAGTTTACTAAACACGCGTTAGAAGAAGTGTTCACAATTGTTATAAAAATATTGAAATGAAACTTTAAATATGCAGAAATTGTTTATATAAGAATTATATATATATATATATATATATATATATATATATATATACATACATACATATATACATATATATGATGTATGTTTGGGTGTGGTGTTTTCATTTGTAAATATAATGAATTAAGCAGCACACTGGTCGATTTTAATTAATCTAATATCTATAGACCAATGCTTAATTTTTAATTTCTCAATTAAGAATCTATAAGAATTCTTTTACTTTGAATTGTTTCACTGACGATTTTTGAAGACCTCATCATTTATTCTATGTGCTCATGGACTTGGAGCGATTTCATTATCATTTTATTTGGTCATTGTCATTAACAAAAGGGAAAATAAAAAATATATAATTACAAATATGTTAACAATTTTTTAGAATAAATAAACAGAAATAAAGTTTAATGGACCAGATTCATTTGATCTATGCTTGATGCGATTTTCATGTGAAACGTTGAATAATGTGTGTCAAATATTTACAAAACATTGTGTTTGTGTGTGTGATATTTTTATACAAAAGTTGACATAAGCGTATACGTGTTTCAAAAGAAAGACACAAAAGTACGCTTAATTCGGCTGATGATTCTGCTCTAAAGAATCGAAAATAAGAAACAACATTCACATCATGGTTTGCAACAAAAATATTCATTCAAGTTAATCAGAATCAAAAAGTTACTTGTACGTTGAAATGTTTTTTGACTTGAAGTCAAATAAGACTTTCGAATGAATTTGTTTATCAGTTTTCTATACGTTTTCAACATTTATGTTGGTTGATTGAATATTTGCGAAACATCGTTGAAATGCAAACGTTTCGTTGATGCAGATTGTGCTGAAAATGATGATGATCACTTTTTTTATTTTTATTCCTGATGTTAGTGAGAAAATGAAAACATTTAATTGTTGCCTGATCTGATGATGAAAAACTAGGAGGTGGATGGTGCTTGTGAAAAATTATTAATCGATCATGTTAACGGTAAGGTAGAGACATTGATGATGATGTTGTTTGTGACGATGATGTCTCTAATGATATGTGGGTATTAAATACGATGCCTGTCAAGGAGTTTTTATATTGGTGGTGTGTGTGTGAGCGGATGCTTGCACCACCGGAGCATCACAACCAACCATTGTTACCATTATGTTGTACAGCTTCCGTCTCCATCAGCGAAATGTGATTGCCAGTAGACGACGTTAACAAAAAAATCTTATTTTAAAAACGAACGTTGTCTGATTGGCTACGCATTGCATTATGTATGGTATTATCTCTAAGGAAGATCTTTCTTGACAGCAATAATTATGCTGAGATTATTATTGTTGGCTTCGGGAAGTGAGAATGTGATGAATGTAGTTTGAGTAAAATAGGTGCACTGCGTTTTTCACTCCTTATTTACATGCGTTGAAACTGACGGCAGATGGTGGTGACCAGTTATTTGGTCAAATTTCACTAATTTTTTTGACGATGATAATATTTGCATCATCAAATGAAACCTGCCATGCAATGACGTGTTAACGTGTTAAGTGTATTTAAAATAGTTTTTTGCATTTTATCTAACAAATCATTTTCATGCGTTAACTTCAATACTACAAATTAACAGTTAGATAGTTTCTGCCATACAAAGTTTCACATGGATGTTGCATTTATAAAGAGCGCATATTAATTGAGCTGAGCACTCTCTCAAGGACAATCATGATTTAACTAGGTCTGTTGGATGTGACCATGAAACAGAACAACCACGTACTTGTTTGGATGCTGGCTTGTTGAGAATTGGAGGATCAGGAGGCGGAGGAATTGGTGCTTGGCCCATATCGAGTAAGCTTTCACGACCGACTGGTGTTACTAGCGGCGACTTGTTTTCGTTTTCATAAACATTGTCCAGCTTGTTGGCGTTGATGTTGTTTTCTGCATAATTTGCTCTGTCAACATTCAAATCATATTCATTGATATTGAACTCCGTGAGATCAAACTCGCCGATGCCATAACCAACTCCAATATAGCCACCATCGCCAGTTTCGTCGTCATCGCTAATGTCCACTAGTTTAATTTCAACAGATTTTTCTTCTTCATCTTTTATTGCGATGAGGTTTTCAATGCCTCCTTTTGTTTTCATCTCGTCGCTTTCTTTCTTGGCTGTCACGGTGATGAGGTTGCTGGTGTCCACATTCAACACACTTTCTGGAGTTGCCTTTTCCGACACAAAACCACTTTCACTAATTGCCTGATTGACGTTGTGCTGAGGTTGTTTCTCCAGTGCACTCAGTCGCTTCGCTAAATCTTTGGACCTCGAGCCCTCGTTTTGGTTCCGTTCGAACAGTTTGTTTCTGTTTTTAAAAATATCATTATCGCGGAACGCTGTTAAAACTTTTAATTTTAATTAATTTAAAAACACAAACTTCAACTCTTTCTCCAATTCATCCACCACGTCTTTCCACTTTTCATCTCCCTGACTCAAAACGCTTCTTCGATCGGGTTTTGACCTGCCATGTTGTTCAAGTTTTAAAAATAAAACAACTCAAATATAAAAAGACGTTTGACATATTCTTATGTCAAAGTGTATATATATATACAAGCTACATTTTAAACAGACGTATTTGCACAAGCTGCAATGGAGAGAATTGAAATGGACGAACATGAGAATGCCATCTCGAGAAATATACTGGCTGTTGCCGTCGTCTCTCGTCTGCACCGAACCGTCCCTCAGTTCGCACTTCTCTTTGATGAACGATGAACTCGTCTGCATGTCGCAATTACTGCATAACGTAAATTTGAAATATATTGCAACGAGAAGAGTAGTGCAAAGCTATTTTAAGTTTTAAATATTCAAACTTTAAGTGTAAAAATAACGAAAATAATTTGAAAATAAAAGGTTTTAAATGAAAATCATTAAAACTATTTGCAAAAAGATAAATAAGAATAGGAAATTGACGATTGGTTTAAGAAATACAGAAAAAAAAACTAAAAATATTTCCAACTAAAAATGGTTAAATCTGAAAATTAATAAATTTACATGGCTTCCACGCAAACGGTTTGTAGTTGCTGGTCGCACTGCTGATAGTGGTCTGATTGTTTTCGATTCTGCGGACACTGATGTTGCTCCATCTCCTGCTCCTTCCTCGATAGAGGCCTCTCCTTCTTGCAAAACTTCACGCAAACAAACATCGTCATGCCGCAACTGTTTACATAATAACATGTGACGTCGACGACGACGATGACGAGGATGAAAATGACGATCGTGATGAGAAGGACGACCCATATTCTGACGTCCCGACTTCTTGAGGCCAGTTCTTCGTCAACGTCAGAAACTTTTTGGTGTTGGTCGGTTGGTGGCAATTAGTTTCTTTAACAAATTTCTAATTAACAATTTTTTTATAAAATAATCTTCTCCCCGATTTGTGGATTCTTCATTTGTTTTCATAAAAGTTTTCAGATGATTTTGCATCCAAACAAAAAATATTTTGTATTATCTTACTGTTAAATATTTTTGGATGAAAAATTTTGCGTTTTTAATATTTGTTGAATTTAGAAGAAGTTTTGAAAGCCACAATTTACACAAACAGAACTTTCAAGTATTTATTGACATGAAATCTAATTTTCACATAAATAGATTACATTTAAATGAATGACATTTAGAAAAGTGTGAGAGCATAAAAATCATTTTTTCTTAAATTTGTCCTCACTTTACGTTTTAAATGATTGTTATATTCTTGAAATAAGTATTTTCGTCGAAACCATGATGATCTAATGGTCATTACGACACACTTCAAAATAGTACAATCATTTGTTGCTTCTAGAAAAACTCAATTTAAATAATTTTAAAAGTGTTTTTGATACAAGTGTTGAAGTAATTTGCAGAAAAAAAAGAATGTAAAAATATTGTTCGAAGAACATTAATTGGTTGCTAAATATATTGCAATTGTGGATCTCTAACAAGCAGTGCTCTGCAGTTCATTAATTTGATTGTTGTATGAATATTTAATCGGTCGAATGAATGTATCAATGAAAAAATTGATAAGCTAAATAATTAAATATTCAAATAAATAACAATAAAACAAATAAATAACCGATCAATTAACATCAGCAACTGTAAGAACGAAACACGCGTTGAAAAAAAAGTGGAATTACTTTCCAAGCAACGAAGATTAATAAGACTCAAAAAAGATAAATAAAGCCGGCACATTAAATATACAAAGACATCGATCACGTGCAGTGACAAAGAAATATTCATCACAAAATACATTTGAAACAATAAAAAAATGATTGTACGTTGACACACAACTCTTGTGCATTGCAAATGAATAGACTGCAACGATATTAAAAGCTGACGCATGAAAAATATTATACATATTATAGAAATTATGGTGTCATTTTGTAGCATTTACGCTCTGAAAATAAGATTTGAATATTTATGAAAATTTTAATACGATGAATACAAAATTTGTAACAGTTTCTCTACCACTAACATTAACATCCACGATCTAAAGATTTTATGAAATAAATTTTGAACATTAAAAAATAAACGAAAAAAATACTCAACGTTTGACTGAAAATATTAAATATTTGTACGTAAAACCAAAATTCTCAAAATTAAAGTTGAAAAAATGAATCTTAAAATTTATTGAAAGAAATAAGTTACCAAAATTTTAAACCAATAAATTTAATAAAATTCATAGCAATGTAATTAATTGAAGAAGAAAAAATTAAACTTAGCATAAGATAGGAGGGAGAGAAATAGTAGTTGCAGTTTGGCAATTGTGTGGACTTCTATATAGCACAAGTGGCCAGAACTCATCAACGATTGATTTTGTTCAACTAAAAAATAATTTAAGGAAAAATGAAAATAAAAATTTTGACAAAAAGTAATAATAATCAAGCACAAAAACAATACAATACTTTATTTTTCATTTTAAAAATGTATATGAAAATAACCAATTCATTAAAGTTAAGTTATTTATAAAAAATAAATCGTGTGATGCTAATTAAATTTGTTATGGAAATAAGTCGCGAGTTGAGATAAAGAAGTGATGATCATGATGATAATAACATGCTTGATAAGAATAAATAATCAACATGCAAAAACTTAATTAACGCTAAGTTCGAATTTATATTAGGACGAGTTAACAAAATCTACTCAAGCAGAAGATTAAAGCATGCTAGAAGAACATTTGGTAGAAAAAAAACCAAAACGACATCAACCTAGAACGCACTTCAATAATTACAATGATGATTATATGAAAGTGACAAAGAGTTAAAAAGTAGACTCACCCTTGCTAGTCCTGAAGCAGAACATGCTGTTGGACTCTGACTTTCCAAGCTCGTTGAAAGCATGGATGATGACGTCATAGTTGGTCTCGGGTTCAAGGTCGTACAAAGTGTAAGATTTTGATGGCCTCAGAGGATTGTCCGAGTACTTGAACTCCTGCCAGGTGGCTCCCAGTGAATTGCCGCTGACCGAACATTCATCTTTCAACGCCCATAGTTGGTTTTGGTTGATTGACTGGAAATAAATTTTAAAGAAATAAATTTTATTTTTGAATGGTAAACTAAAAACTCGAAATAAAAAATGCGTTAAGGTAGAGTAATTTCAATCGCAATAACCGATTGCACAGAAAGAATGAAACGATTGAGGTATAAATGAAAAAATTCTGCGAAACAATTAATCAGCCGTCTAACATTTCAAATAAGCGAACTCACTTTTCGAAATTTGATTTCGTACTCACGGATCGGCGTTCCTCCAGTTTTGGGAGTCTCCCACATCAATTTGTACTGATAAGCATTGGGTCCCTCGCGGTTCGAATTGATGATGATTGGAGATGGTTTTGCTGCCGTTGTTAAGGGTATTCTTCAAAATACTATATTAAATATTGCTGACGTTTCAATTAAATATACCTTCATTTGAAAAGTTATTTTTTGATAGATCATGATACGAAAGAACAATGTTATGAAACAAGTGGAGATATTAATGTGATGTACAATAGCGTTAAATTTGCATCAGCGAACGTACATTTGGAGGCGGTTGTGAACGTGAGGACCTGCTCAGGCCCTGAACCCACCTCGTTCTTCGCCCTCACCTTCACCGTGTATTTGCTGTTCATTTTCAAGTTTTCCAGCTTCACTGATGTTTCGAAGGTTTGTAATGTCATAAAATGCACTTTTTATGTTGTTAAGATACGTAATTATTTTTTGAAAGATATTATAAAAGTTTAAATGTTTAATATTTCTAACGAATAAAATATGTAAATGGGATATGTAACTTAGGTAATTTACTGGAATTTACAAAAATATTACTTACGTTTTTCACTGCTTTTCTTGTTTTCAGCTGAATAAATAACAAAATTGAATTTTTTAAAATTATTAAAATACTTATTAAAATTATTTTAAAATTTATTTTAAAAGTCAAACATAAAAAATCGTAAGGTAATTATATCACCAAAAAATAATTAAATTGTGTAACAGTGGACTATGACTCAACATGTAACTAGCACGTAACTAAAGTGTAACTAAAAGAAGAGAAAATTATATCGCAACCTACCAATAAAAAAATCGTAAACAAAATTGTTGAGCTCCACTCGGTAGCCAATGAGATCCACGTTCCCGGTGTTTTTTGGCGGGTCGACTCTTAAGGTCACCACGTTCGCCGTGTTTTCAAACACTGACACCCTTGGTTGCCCTGGTACGTCTGTTTGGTCGGTCGGTCGGTTGGTTGTTAGTTGGTTGGTTGGTTAGTTGGTTGGTTAGTTAGTCAATTGGTTGGTTAGTTGGTCGGTTGGTTGGTTGGCTGGTTGGTTGGTTGGTTGGTTGGTTGGTTGTTGGTTGGTTGGTTGGTTGGTTGGTTGGTTGGTTGGATGGTTGGTTGGTTAGTAGGTCGGTCGGTCGGTCGATTGGTAAGAAATTGGCAGTGCAATGTGCGATCAGTTGTTTTCTTCAAATAGTGTTCCTAATTTTACGGTTCAAATTGTCGTCTACAATTTTCATTTCATTGTTGTATAAAGCTGCGCTTTCATTTAATAACAGATATGCATCTGAATTTTCAACATTTTATAAAGATTTCTTCAATGCATATCTCACTTAGCAAATATGCCCAAATTGACAAATTTTGTCCCATTGATTTAACGTATAAATAAAAATGCCCGATTTCAAAAGATTTTTTAACATGGACCGTTTGATAGATTTTTACAAAGCTTTGGTAATCTTGAACTGAAATTGCTTTCAAGGCACAATGCATCGATATGTACGCAAAGGTAATGACATGCAGGCAATGGTGAAAATGAACGAATAAACTTGCCACATACTTCCTTTATCGAGGGTTATTGTGTGTTTGGTGCTGCCCTTCGTGTTCTGTGCAATGCAGGTGTACTCGCCATATATCCAGTTCTCGTCCGAAGGCTTCACCCTGATCTGTTTGATGTCATCACAATTGGCAACGTAACCATTGTCATTATCATCATTATTGTCATCATTATCATCATCATCACTATTGTGTTACACACGCATTTTCAGCAATATCTCTTGTGCCACCATTGTTTTTTTTTAAAAAGATCTAAAATACGATGATAGCAAACAACGGAACAAACCACATGAATTGCTTTTCAGTTATTAGTCAACCGATCCATTCAAACAAACATGCTGCAAATCAAAGGACTCAATTAATTGAGTTATAAGACATGATGTACGCAATCAACTCCATGTCAAAATCTCTTGTGAGGGCAGAATTGAATGAATGTAGTACGAAACAAATAATGAATAGTCCGAAATCAACTAAAATGCACGCAATCTCTTGCATACCATAAACAAATAAACTCTTGACAGAATAATTTTCCTGTTGATGAACGAGACACCGGCAAGAAAACAACTGAAAACTCAGGAAGCACCAACTTTTAATCATTAGAAACAGACGACGTGCATTCCAAATATTTTTTGGTCGTAATAATTATGATCAAAATCCTGAAACAAATCCGAATTTGCAATCCGGCACAATTGATACTTCGTTTGATTTCCGAAGAACCGATGAATACAAGTTGATCATCACATTGCCAGAGTGTAGAGGTAAATTTTAATCGCTAAAATTTGCGCATTGACTGCACGTTACCGTGGAATTTATTATGTTATAAAGACTTTTAAAAGAAAATTAAAAAATATTCAAGTAGGTTGAGATGGTTACAAGGATTGGTTCTATCAAAAGAGGTAAGGGATTGGACGAGAGTGGAAAAAATAGAGCATCTATAAAAAGCGTGACAGTTTTTTTAATTTTTTGTACAACAGCTCATCTATGAAAATAAAGAAGAAAGTACAAGATAGATAAGTGCAAGGCAGACAAGTCACAAGGGAAGCATTAAAAATGTAAAAAAAATGGCAGAGAAAAGATAGAGCGATCAATGTAAGCCAAAATGAATTTTATGCAAAAGAAGCGTATGTTAATAATATATTAAACGCATTGAACTTTCTCGTTAGTTTATATTATATGTTAATAATTATGTTTGCTTCTTAGAAATAGTTGGACGACGAACTACAAACCTGCAAACTGTAGTTGCCTTTGTGCTCAAACATTCGGTAGGTGACGTTGTCCGTTAAGTAAATGCCCCGTCTGCGAATTTAACGTAACGTAACGAGGTTACAACAACAAAGACTCACATTGTACACCTTGCGAAAAATTTCATGATTAGTTTGCTCTTTACAATATCAAAAATTTGTATCAATCGATTATATGATGACGTAATATTTTCACATCTTCATATACAAAGGCAACATTAATAAATTATTGCCTTGATAACACACAACATCACAACATCGCAAATACTAATGACATCAAACCATCATCACAACACATCAAAACATCAACAGTGCAACAACATTTTACAACGCATGGCAACAAACATCCTCACAATGAAAATGCAACAAAACAAAACAACAACATTACAAGATCATCCCGACTCACCTATCCCACACAAATCCACTGACAGGGGGGTTGGCATTAACACTGCACGTGATGTTGTGCACCCTGCCCACCCAGCTGTACTCCTTCAAGCGGTTTCTTTTCGTTGGAAATGTAGGCTTATCTGGTGCGTAATCATTGTTATTATTATTTCTTTTGTCTGCATGTGCTTCAGAGAGCTCGGTCTTGCGCTTGGACTCCAGTCAGTGCGACAAAACATCCGCTCATTTTATAAAAAAAAGTGTGTGCTACGTTATTTCAAGCGCGTGCATCGCGGTGTTTGTAAAAACGTTGAAAAGTACCGTTGAACTAAGAAATGGCGCTATATAAATTATAAAAATTGTTTGACTGATTGATTTCAATTTTCACATTTGTTATTTATAGAAATTTAAAGTCAACAATCAACAGCTCTCAAAGCAACTGGCCACATTTGTACAACATAGAGGAAGAGAGAGAGAGAGAGAGAGAGAAAGAGAGAGAGAAAGAGAGAGAGAAAGAGAGAGAGAAAGTATTATAAACCGTGGATAACTGGAAATCTTAGAGAAAAAAAATTTTATGTCAAAAAACGAAAGTGAAAAAAAAGAGATTTATTAAATGAAAATGTGCTGCAAAATAAAGAAACGTGCTAGAGCAGATTAGAGGCGATAGACAAATAAAAAATGTTTATGAGCTTATTGTTTGGTGAAAGAACTAAATGATACGAACAAACACGTCAAAGATTATATTAAAGACAAAGATTGAAACATCCGCAGCAAGTACAAATCGATGGCAATCATTTCTTGCATGCAAGAAAAAGCAAGCGACTCAAAAATAACATCTCAGTGAAGAGCAAGTCGTTTTAAAAAGTAACAAAAAAAATTTCAGCAAATTTTCATGCTTAATAATGGATTTATTCAACATAATCAACAAATGGTCAGACTGAAAAAATTGCTGAAACAACTGATAAGACAAACTAACAGGCGACTTCTAAGTATCCAGTGGCATCATCCTTGCCGTAGTCATTGGAGGCCTTGCAAATATAGCCAGACATGTCGTCAGGTCTCAGGTAGTTTATTTGCAGGACTATCTCGTAGGGACTCTTCTTCAATACACTGTATCTATCTTGCTGTTTAGTCGTTCATTCAGTTTATCAAACATTATCATTTCATTTTGGATTATAATAAGTTTATTTTCAAATGACTATTAAAAATATTATCTGACATTGTGTAACGGCAAGTGTATAACGAAACATGGCAAAATAAACAAGTGTACCTCGGACGGACCCGTTACAACAAACAATTTTGCAGAGCCAACAACAAAGACTCACGTTGTACCCCTCGCGAAAGATTTCTTTTGTGGACTCTTTGAAAAAACTGATTGACAATGGAAGGTCACCCTTAGCCTTACAACTGATGCTAGCTGTCATCCCTTGGTCCAAGGTCAAGTTCTTCAACTCCATAATCTTTGGCGGAACTGTTTCAATATGAGGTGAAATTCACATTGGAGACAATCAACAGCGTGATGATAATGATGATGACGACGATGACGACCGTGATGACGATGACGATGTTGATGACGACAGTGAAGAAAACGTATTGAATTGTAGTAAAATAAAAAAAACGTAAAAATTATTGAAAGTTTGCTAACTGATAAGATTTGTAAAAAATTCTGATGAAGTTTCAAAAGTATTAATGACATATGATCTTGAAAATCCCAACAAATTTTGTTAAAATAACTTTGTAAATAGATTAGTATGCATATAAATTAGAAGTTAAAAATTTTCGCCTTATTTTTTATCTAAAGAGGATTTTTTAAAATTTTTACATCAGTTTAGAGCTCATTCTGCCAGCTTATTTTGACTTCATTAAATATTTTCCTAAAAATGAAAAACTACAAATGACGTTTGGAAGCTAGAAGATGAGACACAGGTGCACGTTTGCGAGCTGAACACTTTTAGAAAAATGCTGTAAATAAACGTTTTGCGTCGAGACCCTAGTAAATTTAATTTTAGTTTTTTTTTCGCACAAACTATTTGGCGTTCAAAAAGCTGTAGGGTGAACGTAAATAAATTTTTTTTATATAACGAATTGCAAATGCGTCAGAACATACACCAAAAACTACATTCAATGAATAGTAGAAAAAATATTAAATTTTTCTTAATCTTGTATGGTTTTCATGTCACAAATGAAATATATTGAAACCCTAAAACGTTCATTGCCGTAAGAAGTATTTAATTATTTTGTAATATCGCAACCTTTGACGGCGATGGAGCCTTCGACTGAATTTTCACCGGCCTCGCTGTAGGCTCTGCAGACGTAGGAACCCTCGTCTGACTTCACGAGCGACCTGATCTTCAACTTACCTTGCTCGTCGTTTATCTCCATACGGTTGGTCGCTTGCAGCTGCTTCTTCCCCTGATGTGTTCAGTTGTGATTGAAATGTTTAGTGTGGTTGAAGTTGTGTTTGAAGTTGTGGCTGAAATGTTTAGTGGTGGTTAAAGTGTTCAATCAAGTATTTAATTATAATTTTTTTTATTTTCAGGCCCAACTCTCACTCCATTGTTACAATAAATATTGTCAGTCTAAACAAATTATTTTGAATTGCATACAGAATGAAATCAATAAAAAAATAATCATCCATCACTGGGCAATTGAAACTGCAAATGAATATTCTCGAAGCCTTCTAATGCATTCATCAATACAGAAATAGTTGTGTTGCATTTATTGCAAGAATGACCAAGAATATTTATTCTTATACAAGTAGATAGGAACCATCCGAATAAATTGTTCCCGAAACTGAAACAAATGCACATAAACATAGGTTAGAAACGTTTTTATCAAGCTGTAGAAAAAACTCAACAATCGTTCGTAGTTGCATGCATGTTATCGTTTTTAGGCAGACAAGTCGAACATGTGCGAGATATCAAACAAATTTTCTAGTTACCAGTGATTTAACGTTAACATCAGAAAACTTCTGTCGGTTAAAATTTGTGACAGAATTTGCAACAATTGAAATAAGCTTTAAGAATATGCTTACGTTATCATGTTATTGTTTATAAATTAAACTATGTTTATTTTTACGATACTCCTAAAAATTAATAAAATATTATTGAACGATTTCAAAACTTACAAAAATATATGGCAAAGTAAAATGCTTACAAATACGCGTGCAGTTAGTCAGTCTATAGTCTATCATTGAAACGATACGCATGAAGTCTGGCAGACAACAAGAACGGTAAAAAAAAGAAATGACGATAACAGCAAAAACCAATTTCAAATTAGAAACCTTAAAGAACTTGTACTTTGGCTTGGGCAGTCCAGTTGCATTGCACGTGACTTCCAGGGAATTCCCTTCAATCTCCGTCACGTGACCAATTGGTTTGGTCACTTTTGGCGGGACTGGAAATCATTTATTTGTTGTTATTTGCTACTTATCACATGGTGTATAATTAAGTCATCTGAGTCTCTCGGTAGATTTATATAGTCTTCAAGTTTTTATCAGCGGTTCCAATTTCACCCATTTTATCAGGTTCGACGTGATTTACTTAATGATTGGCTAAATATTTCATCTTCATGTTGTATTAAACCATGCAAACAACAACATCTCCAGTCAGCATACGTCATAAGTCGCAGCAACAACACCATCTTCGCTTATGTACATTTAAGTATCATTATTTCCGTTATCATGTGAACAATCATCTTTATCCTAACCGTCATCATAGCTACCCTCATCATCATCAACATCAACAACATCATCATCAACAACAACAACATCAACATCATTATCAACAATAACAGACACTCACTGTAGACGGTGACATTAATGATTCTTTCGTCATATGCACCAGCCGATGGCAGTTCAGCAGCACATGTGTACAATCCTGTGTAAGTGAGTGAGTGAGTGAGTGAGTGAGTGAGTGAGTGAGTGAGTGAGTGAGTGAGTGAGTGAGTGAGTGAGTGAGTGAGTGAGTGAGTGAGTGAGTGAGTGAGTGAGTGAGTGAGTGAGTGAGTGAGTGAGTGAGTGAGTGAGTGAGTGAGTGAGTGAGTGAGTGAGTGAGTGAGTGAGTGAGTGAGTGAGTGAGTGAGTGAGTGAGTGAGTGAGTGAGTGAGTGAGTGAGTGAGTGAGTGAGTGTAAACGAACTTAAGAGAACGAGTGTAAATGAATAAACTTACTAGCATTGAATTAACCAACATCTTAAATGCAAGTTAACAAATACTTAATATTCTTAATATACTTAATACTTAATAAAATATTCTAATTAAAATGAGAACTCGAAATAAGTACAAACCATTGTCAGCCGTGGTGATGTTTTTGATCAGCAAGTATCCATGTTGAACGATCTTCCTGCTGTCTCTGCTGTTGGCCTCTTCAAGTTAGTAACACATTTCAGTGCGTGAAGAAAGGATTTTAAAAGCTCAAAAAATGGTTTTAATGACAACCAAGCAATTATTTTTTTGCTTTACTTAGCCTGAAGTCCTTCAAACTTCGCAGCAGTAGCAACAAAAACAACAACATTAGCAACAACATCAAAAATAACAGCTTTAACAGCAACAATGTCAGCAACAACAACATCTGCAACAATAGAAGCAAATAGAAGCAGAAACATCTACGACATCAACAGCAGTAACAATAACAACATTTACAACAACATTTGCAACAACAACATTTGCAACAACAACATTTGCAACAACAACATTTGCAACAACGTTACGAAATTAGGAATACAAAAAAATTAAAAAAGTAACAAGAGTAAAGCACCGTTGGTGATGGATTGTCTGCCGTTGTACTTCCAGCTGATGATTGGGGTGGGAGAGCCGACCACGTGACATTTGATCTGAGCGTCTGTGTTGATGATCGGGTGCTGAAAAAGAGGAACGTCAAGAAAGGTGATCTGTTCTGTTTGAGTGGGTGGGTGGGTGGGGTGGTTTGTTACGTCATCACACTGTTTGTGGCGATGATGGTGACGATGATGACAAGGACAATACAAGCAATGGAAAAATGTAGCATCCAAACTCTAACATGCATGCTTAAAAACATCCAAGAATAATTTATATGGTGATGAAAGTAATAACCATGACGTGATTTACAGCCAGCGCATTTAACTAGCCAATCAAAATGCATGGCACGTCGCAACCAGCTTCACGTACGCCTACAAAACTTGGAGAATACAAAGCAGAGAATATGCGTCTGTAAAAAAATCTATTTGTGATTGAAATAAATACTCAATTAATTTCTAATTCAAGAAAGTGTCAGACTTTTGTTTGCGCCAAATAATTTTAAAATAAACTTTTTCTAAATATTTTGCTAAACGTTTTAACAACATCACAAATGATACTTATTTGTAATAAAAACCTTGTGAAAATCTACGTTTATAAGTATGCGTGTGTGCATATGCATAGCTGGGGTAAGCTGTCATGTGTGTTTATATATATATATATATATATATATATATATATATATATATATTGATAAAAATTACAGCATGTTCGGTGTTAGTTAACTTCCAATTTAACTTCGATTTTTCTAACGGTTTCGTTACGTAACGGATTGTTTTCATTAATAATAATTGCATTTCTGACAGTCTTAACCCTATATATATAAATATATATATATATATATATGTGTGTGTGTGTGTGTGTGTGTGTGTGTGTGTGTGTGTGTGTGTGTGTGTGTGTGTGTGTGTGTGTGTGTGTGTGTGTGTGTGTGTGTGTGTGTGTGTGTGTGTGTGCTAGTACAACAAATTGGTTTGGTGTTAAAATTGACTGTTCTGCATTATTAATCCATGATTTGTTCATCGTTATTCAAAAGGGAGAGATAGGGAGAAAGAGAGAGGAGAAAAAGAAAGGAGAGAGAGGAGAGAGAGAGAAGAATGAAAAAGGAATGAGTTGAAGATTGACAACCTTACTAAAAATAACAGAAAGAAATATAAAGGAAGACAAATGGGATTGGAAAAATGTTACAAGAAAGAAATCTATATTATTAAATAAGTAGAATTAGGCGAATAATATTCAGAAAAAAAGCATTATTTAATTGAATGATGTGCTTGTTTTGCTCATTATGAACTGACAGATTGATTGGCTGGTTGGTTGAAAAAAAACTTTCTATATACTTTAGAAAACAATAAATAATTAAGAATATTATTTGCCAAAATTCAAAACAACTCCGACGACAAAATGCCCATCTTGTTATAAATGCATCATGTTATCAAGAATCCAGCCCACCAACCGATCAATCAACCAACCAACCAACTAACCAGCCAACCATTGAACCAACCAGTTATCCAACCGATAAACCAGCCGACCAACTAACCAACCAGCCAATCAATCTGTCTGTTCATACTGAGCAAAACAAACGATTCCATGCACACATTCGTGCATTGATTGAACTATTTGAAAACTAAATAATGATACATTAGAAGAGGTGGAGGAGTTGACGTAGAAGTTACTGCCTAAATTTGCCAGCAATGTGCGTGTGCGTGTGTGTTTGTGTGTGTGCGTGCGTGCGTGTGTGTGTGCGTGTGTGTGTGCGTGTGTGTGTGTGTGTGTGTGTGGATGTGTTTGTGTGAATATGTGGGCGTGCATTTGCAATGCCAGTCACTATACAAATCGAGTACAACTAATTTTTCAATGACCAAATTTTTCCATCAAAAATACATTATAATTTTTTCATTAAAAAGTCATAAAACTAATATTTTGAATATCTTTACTCAAACAAAAAGATAATGATTCGTAAGAATGACAATTTCATAAAGTAGTGGGTTGAAATTTGAAAATAGTGCTCAAAACAATGAGAACAGTAGGAACATTGAAAACATTAAGAACATTGAGAACATGAAGAACATTGAAAACATTAAGAACATTAAGAACTTATCTACGACGGCAGACACAGTCAGGTTTTTGAAATAACAGAATGAAAATAGCAAACAAATGATGGATGTAAAATTAATCTCTCAAACGTAGAATTTCGTTTTGATAGACACTGGTGAGATGTTGATAAAAAGAGCACGCCCTAATGAAATCATTTAAAAAAATTAATTAGCCTGAAATCTGAAAAATTTTCTGAAAGATGTAGTCTGATTTCTATAACAAACAATTACTTTAAATAAAACTTGTATGAGGAAAAAAAATCTACTATATCACTTCTACGCAGAATTTCTTATGTTTCCTCAGTCGTTCTCTAATCGATTTCGTAATGTTAATCATATTTCAATAATGATTTGTAGTTTCTACACTACTATTAAAAATAAATATAAAAGCTCACCTCATCATATAATATAAAGTAAAAAAATTGATTTAAACTTGTTTAAATTGTTAATAAACAGAAATCAGATAAGCGAAATATTTCTTGATCATCGTACGGTTCTCCGATGATTTCGTTCATACCCTGATGAAGATGTATGTGTCATAAATGTGTATGCTTTGTTGTGTGTGTGTGTGTGTGTGTGTGTGTGTGGGCGCGTTTTTGTTGGTCTTGCATTTGTTGAAGTGAGGATATAGCCATACTTGTTGTGGTTGAAGTGTGAATGCTTGGTCTTCCTAATATTGATCGTGAAGAACACGTTCTGCATGCACATAGGTATGGTTATATGGGTATGTATGGCGGTATGTGTTTGTGTAGTGTAAATACATAGAAACGCGCGCACACACACACACACACAGAGAGAGAGAAACGCGCACGCACGCACACACACACACACACACACATCTTTTCTTCACACATACAATACAACACACGTACGTGTATCAATAGATGTACAGTTATTTATTTTACTATCTTTTTGTTAGTCTTATATCTGTACACATCTCCGGGCATATGAAGATATAACATAACATGATGATTGATTATAAGTGGCTACATTGGGGTTTCAGTTTTTTTCGTAGGACTAGTATTTTTATTTACAATATGAAAACAGGTATAATTTTTTGAATGTTGAAAAAAAATTGAAAATTCTGTTAAATTTTGAAAACCTATTCAAATTGTGAGAGCTAACATATCGGACAAGATTCTTATATGAAGCACAATGTCTGTTTGAGCGTGTAATTGTGGGTAGGTGTTGCAATTACTTGCCATCTTTTTAACAGATACATTGATGAAGTTTTTATTACGTTTTCGGCCACATAAATACATAAACCACACAAGTATTCTGAACACACAAGTACTAAAAGTACACAAATGTTAAAAGTACATAAATAATACTAAAACTTCAGTGCATTTTATAAAAACGCAACGTCAGCCTCGATTTTTTTACGAACTGGCAATTAACTAGCTAATGTCATCGTAATTAATTGAATTAATATTATTAAAGTAAGTTTTTCTGCTAATGGTGTCATCGCTAGAAGGAATTGTGAGACAACGAACAGAGCAAGAGTACGCCGATATTATCAAATGAAGAGTTTTCATTTTGGTTGTTAACCTAATCAGCAGCTTGGTAATAGCATTACTCTCGCATCCCTCAAGAAATTATATAAAACCAACGACGAAATGAGGAATAATCAGAAAAAAAAATAATGTTGAGCAGCAAAATAAAAAACGACCAAAACAAAATAACAGACATAAAACCAACAAGAAGCTATCAGCAACAAAAAAATGTTGAGCAACGAAATAAAAAGCGACCGAAAACAAAAAAGTGATCAACAACAACAAAAAGTGATCTACAACAAAGTTTGATCAACAACAAGAAAATGTGATCAAAACGAAGAAGGAAGTGGTTGATCAACTAAATGAAAAATGATCAAAAGGACTAACGCAGCAGAGTGAGTTTAAAGTGCTCTTCCTTCGGCATTCCATTGACGACGACTCTACATGAATACTTGCCTGTGTCTTTCTCGTTGATGTGCTTTACAAACAACTTTAACCCGGAATGAACTTTTTCATAATACACCCTGTTTGGGGAAAATTTTGTTGCCTCATTTGCACGTATGTAGATCTATGTTATCTGAATGAATGTTGGTTGTTGTTGTCTGGTCTATTGTCTATTGACTTGCATGTGTGTTTAATTACATTCTCGCTTCGTGTAAAATTTTAAATAAACAATCATTTAATTAACTTGCACATTCATAAAAAGTTTTTATATAATAACTAAAAAGGATAAATAATAAATATTGAAAATTTCCCTTTAATATATCAACGTAAGATCCTTTACAATGTATGTGTGCGCGCGTAGTTTACCATTTAAACATGTTTTTGAAACATTTTCAATCGCCAAGTGAGCATAACTTGAACACTCACCAGCTGCATGATTTTAAAATTTTCTTAACACAAGATCCTTGAAACGGAAAATTTCCAATGTTTGTTAACTAAAAACAGGTTTTTCAAAACTTGACTTCTAATTTGATTGCATAATTTACAAAAATATACAAAAATTCATATTGTATGAATTCTACCAAATTGTTGGCATTAATCAATTTAAAATTTGTCATTTCAATTTTACCTACTAAAATTTTCTGGAAATTGTTCAATTTATTAAAAATAGCATTTTTCAAGTTCATCATGGAAAATTAATAAAACTGTTTTTATCTGTTGCTTAAACTGTTGTTTATGTGCACGTAAATATATATTTGCAGTTATTTTTCACGTATACATCAAGGCTTGCGAGTTGAGACCACACAAATAACGCACGAACAACGACAGCAACGAATTAGTTGCTAATTTATAAGACTGTCAGCCTGCTTCAAGCTATCTATCTGGTCCCTAAACAAAACAATTGTCACTGGTTTTATCACTTCCTAGAGCATGCATAACAATAACAAAAACAATAAATTAATTTATTCATTCAGTCATACAAGAATTCATCCACACATGCATTCATTCATTTATTCATTCATTCATTCATTCATTCATTCAATTATTTATTCACCCACATCTTAATTTTTTCACTAATTTTTATTTATTTACCCATTTATTATTAACATGCAAATTTATTCATATATTCATTCAATTATTATTCATTGGTCAACTGGCTCATTATACGATGAGACGACCCTGGTTCACATACATTGCGAGCCTTCATTCTGGGCAAGCAATCATTCGCTTCAGTTAAGCGCACGTTTATTACATCTGTCTTATATACATTTATTTATATTTGCTTGTACAGACTTGAGACAAAAGTTTAGATCAACTGTCAATAAAAATGTCCGATAATGTTGAATAAATAAATGGATGAATAAATAAATGAATGAATGGATGAATAAATGGATGAATAAAAAAATAAATGAATGGATGGATGGATGGATGGATGGATGGATGGATGGATGGATGGATGGATGGATGGATGGATGGATGGATGGATGAATGAATGAATGGATGGATAATCGAACGACCTCTGGTTTCCATCAACATCCTTGATGGTTTTGTTGTAAGGATCGGTCCAATGAATCTTCACGTTGTCAGACGGCGAGACATCATCGTAGGAGCACGTAGAGACAAACGATCCACCCAAGTTCGAGGTCTGCTCCTTTATGTTCGGCGTCAGTCTCACAGTGAAAGAGTTCAAAACTGATACGTGTTTAAAAGTTTACATTCATTCAGATGTCAATAAAAACTGTTACAAATGTTCTATTAATAATGCTGTGTTCAATTCATACAAAAACATAAAAACCTGCATTTATAGATGCATAAGTAATACATCACCATCGTACGCCCGATTTTAAATGCAATTTCAGATACATCATTTGATTTCAAACAAGCCAAGCTATGTAAAACAATAGTAAAGTTAATTGCTAAAACACAACCGTCGTTTGTGCTTTATGAAAGAATGGTTCAGAGTCGCAGCGAAATGAAAATATGTATTTCGGATAAACATAGAGCGTAAACATTTACTTGTCGTTTCTTTAATAAGACACGTACGTATCAGAGGAATTTATTTTGCTTACAGTATAGAACTGAAAAGAATTAAATACAGTGTTAACAAAACGCAATGCAAAACATTTAACAAGCTGTATTTTAAAAAATGTTTGATATGTTTGCCTTTAAACATCTGTAATCAAAAATAGAGCCAAAAGACTTCTGATAAGAAAAGTTCTGATGTTATGTGCAAGTAGAACACCCAACATACACACACACATCACACATGCGCACACACATACACTAACAAAAAAAACTGATAACATATTTACACTCAGTCACAAAATTGTTCGCGCGTTTGTGTTTGTTAGATGGGCTATCAAATATTTGTTCGTGCCTGTGTCTGACGTTGTTTGTTTGTATGCTGGTGTTTATAATAGTTGCAACAAATGATATCAGTAACAACATTCCCACACCTCAGCAATCAACTCAGATTGATTGTTTTCAAACAAGGAGTCAACGAATGTCTCGATAAGAACGTTCGTTTTACGTTCCCGAAACAAACAAGTAAAAAAATAACGCAATAAATTATATGATTGTTATGATTCTGCCATCACTGCAGCTATAAATTTAATGAATTTTCATGTTTCATAACTTTTTTAATGAAGAGAGTAGTTGACGTAAATTGAAGCACGCATCATCTATTCTTGAACAACAGAAATAATAATAATAATAATAATAATAATAATAATAATAATAATAGGACCTATTCATTGCATAACATTCAATATTAACAAGCACGAACAATCATCATTGCTTGGCACAGCGACATTTAGCATGTTTTAAAACTTAAATTTATTAATAAAAAATAACAGCAAATATATTTGCAATAAATACTTTTTATATTCCTATATTAATTTTTGAATGAAATCGATATAGGCCCATATTAATTTTTGAATTAAATCGATCATATTCGCCGAATTCGATTATGATGAGTTTGGTTTGCCTATAATCCCAGAAAGGATTTGCTGTAACGTACGCAACAAATATTTAAAAAAAAAGATACGGTATGACTGTGTGGAGCCATCCGATCAACTCATCTGACTCAGATTATGCACACACATACCTATAGTTCAAATCGAAAATGTTTCAACAAACACGTAGGTTGACACTTGGGAGTATGTTGACACAAAACATGACAAACGTAGAACATAAAAAAAGCATTAACAAGTAAGTATTTTGAATTAATCGATGTTAAATAAGCCCGAGCAAAATCTCAAATCATCAAAAATGGTTAACACAAATGAAATTATTCAAATCGATAAAAGCAAGATAAAAAAGATAAATTAAAACAAGAAGTTAATACAAGTTAATTTTTCAATTTAATTATATAGGTCTTACCTTGAAAGTGTGCAAAAATGACGAAGATGCTAGCGACACCAAACACTGGCAAACGAGCCATCGCTAGGACATCAATCAACAATGTTCCAATTGTCAAAACTATATAATCTTAAGTTCCTATCTAAATTCTGTCCATCTTTTAATGCACAGACTAATAAAATAGATCAAAATGATGGCAATTAACAAGCCAAACGCAATTACTTCTTCAGATGTTATGACGTCCTGTGTGTATGTGTGCAGTTAGCATTCAAGAACAGGAAACCAAACAATTTCCAGTTGATTTTGGTGAACATATACAATTCAAAAGGATATACAATATATAAATGCAACTATAGATGAGCGTTTATACGTATCGTACGATATAAAATATGTATACCAGATTTCGATTATAACTATATATGCGATGTATGCAAATATATAAGAATGCCTGTTTACGCGTGCGCATATATGGCTGTATGATGTCCTCGCATGAAAGCTTCAAAGAGAAGAGCTGTAGCTGCTACATTGCTGCAGATGTTTATCTCCGCCAACCACAACATACACTAAACCACAACCACAAAACCATTGAAATTACACATACGACATGATCATTTATTAGTAAATATTGAAAAGATTTATAGTAGAGCTATATTTTCCACAAATGACAAACAGATCTGTTTCTGATCAGCTCAAAATGTCACGTGTACAACCAACCCCAAAAAACTATTGTCGTCATCGTGTGCTTCCTAAGCAGTTGCCGTACGCAGCAATCTACGCGTGCTATTTTAAGATATCGTTTTCGTAAACAAACTCTAGAAATAAATAATAACATAATTTTTCACATAAAATACCAACCGCTGTAACGTAAAATTAGTATTAGCTTGGACAAAATGCCGACTTTACTCAGAACATGGCAGCAATAACATAATGTTATCACTAAATCGATGACTGTAGTTGGTGTCAAGTTTAGGGTTTTCTTTAAAATTTAAGACGAACATTTAAGATTTTTATAACTTAAATAGACCTTGCACAATCAAATGATGACGGTAATTTCTGCATAAAATAAAATACCAAAACATTGTCAACGAATTAACGTACACACACAACCATGCATTCCGTGAATTCAAAAACCGCTATCCCGTTAACTACACATCTATTGACTAAATATAACAACTGAACGCACTAGCTTCGAAAGACCACTCACCAACTAAAATAATTGCTCTGTTTGGCGTTAATTGCTTTGAAGTCGCTAGTTCGACTTTTTTCGCGAGACGGTTGACTAAAGTGAGCACACAGTCAGTCAAAACCAACGGCTACTATGTATAAAACAAGCGTTTATTTATTTATTAGAATTCAAAAAAACAAAAAGTATTACGTCGGAATATAAATATTGCAAAAACAAAACTAATTATGAAACGGCAAGCCAATACTTATGTAGTCTCTGTAACCAATCTTCCCAATATTTGTTACATATTTCTCTGTTCATGTGATGTACATCAGCTTTTGTGCCATCCTCATACGTGATTACTAATAAACAGTTTTCGATAAAAGCAGTTTGTAAATTAATTTTTTCAATTTTCTGCTTATATTTTACAAAATCAGGATGAAATAACTGTTGATTAAATGCTGCTAAATAGGCAACAAGTTGTAATGGATTGTCAAACGTTTTATCTAATGATGATTTCAGTCTTTTTGATGTCTTCCATTCTACCACACACAATTTTTTTTTATAAACAAAAACACCATCAAGAATTCCTTTATAATTAAGATTTGTGTTCTGAACAGGCAATTCTAGAGCAATTGTATCTTCAATTTCTTCTAGAACATGCTGAACACTATTCCAGTACCCTTCAATTGATGGAGATATATTAACATTCATTTGACCTTCAAGAAAACTTTTAATGCAGCTATGCAAACGATAACCATTTTCAAACAAAGCTTTTTTGTACAATTCAAATTCGCTGATTCCCATCTGTGCAATCATCTTCTTTTCCCATTCTTCAAGTATATATATGTTTTCTGGAGACATTGTTGATTTCAGAATTAGGGAAACACTAGGAAGAGACAAATTCTTCCACAAAATTTTGTTGGTAACTGGCAAAACCCCATTAAACAGAGGCATTTTTAATATTTTGTCTAAGTTTATTTCTTTATTATTGCTATTTACCCCATTGATTTTTTGATTTCTTAATTTATGACCTTCTGGAAATGCAGGATATGTTAAAGGAAATTGGCCGGTCAAGATTAATTCTAGTTCTTTTGGTGTAGCTTCTTGATAATCATACAAATCTGTTTCTGTGGCATCTTCACTAATAGAAATAGACACAACATCATGCTGGACATTTTTTAAATCATTATTTAATTCTGAATTAGTAAGTTTGTTTTTAGAGCTTGCATTTTGATATTTTGTCTCCTCTTCAGGATTTTTTACACTTTTAATTTTTTTTTCTTTCACTGATGCTGTTACATTTAGATCTTTTTTTGAATTAATTTTAAGTTCAGGCACTTGGCTTACTACTTTGATTAATTTATTTTTATTTGAAAGTACACCGAAATAATTTGTTTGGCCATTGTTGTTTTCCAGAGATTTTTTGACAACTTTAAAAAACGATTTCTTAACTTTGGGTCCAAACAAAAATTCAGTTTCATCATCCCAGGAAGCAGAAGCTCTCTGCTTGATTTCAGTCTTCATAACGGTTTTCACACCTTTACTTTTACCACATTGTTTTAAAGTGAAAAAAATTGCACGAGCACACGAAAATTTCATCCTGAAAATCCTACTTATTAATGAAATTAAATAAATTAAATCAATTTATTTAATAAATATACCTAATTATTCAATTATTTCATTTTACAGTTTTGTTTTATAATTTATTTAACAATAGTTAATTTTAATATAAACAACAAAAAACATATTTATCTCTAAGTAATGGTTCAGTTTTTTTTTCTAGGATATAGTCATGATCCAAATAATTTAAGCAAACGCTTAGATAACTTTACGAATTGACAGAATCCGACTATTTAAAAATCGTAACACGGCATGGTTGTTTTGACAAAGATTAACTTTTAATCGTAAACAGGACGATACGTTTTCTGGAATCTAGAACAAATCTATATAAGTTAACTTAAACGCACTACATACTCGGATCATTCAGATTCTACTCAATATACTTTAACCATGTATATGAATATAAATAAAAATGTATATTCTAAACATATATAGAGGAACAATACATATATTCCCTTAAGGCCTTAATTATTTCTTATTTTTCTGCATGTTTTCTTTGGCTGCTGGTAAAACATAATTTTAAATATGCACATGCAAATGTCCAGATTTCAATCTAATTCATTTCTTAGTAATTATTGAAATTTTCAAATAACATTAAGCACCACGATCTATGATTCCTCTCAAACGCTTTAATCCTTTTCTCTATCTATAACGCTTTTGACTTTTCAGTTATTTCTCAGCGAAAAAACGAAGTTTAGATCAAATTTCAAAGATCATCTATCCCATCATCTTATTGGAAAGGTCTTCGAAGAGCGCCGTTGAACATCATTGAAATGAAGAAGTTTTATCCATGGATTGGTTGAAAATTGTAAAAATAAAAGAATAGATTTCAATTAAAAATTTTGTTTAATTGTATTGGTGTATCTTATTATTCAGCCAGACCATCTACCCATCGAGATCTGTTTTGTTCAAACCATTTCACAGATCCGTTTTGTTCGTACTATTTCACTATTTATCACATTCTATAAAATTTTACCAAAGTTACAACTTAGGAAAGCAGCTTTCCTTTTTTGCTAATAAACGAACATTAAGAAAATGCATATGGATTGATTTCAAAAGTTATCCTATGTATAATATATACTAAGCCACAAATACAAATGAATAACATTTAAAGACATTTTTTATAAATTAAATTGATGAAAGCTTGGCAGATACATTGATCAAATTATATAAAGTTGGCAACAATTTTTATTGTTACACATTTTAAATAATATAAATAAATAATCTTTCGAATTATTGCAATTGAAAACGAAAATTACCAAAAATGCTTAAAATATAAACAAGCGTATTAAAAATCTAAAATTCTATGGCCAATAAAAAGAAAATTAGTGAACACTAAATTTTTCGAAAGTAGAAAATTAATTTAAAATGGTTGATTTCGTATCATTTATTAGTTTTCCATTCAGAGCAAACTCACTGTAGGTAGCAAAATTTATTAGTTTCAATCAGTTCTTCGTCATACAAATCGACATAACTGGGAACCTTGACTAACGGTTTGCTTTCTAATGCATTTTGTTTCGTGGCTTCAACGAGGTCACCGTTTTGCTGATTTGCAGACTGGGAGTTATTCAAAATTTGCCTTGATTTTACCTCTGCTTCGTTTACTAACTCTTTAATACGTTCGCTTTCGGCTAACAAAAGTTTGAGAGTGTGCTCAGCTGAATCAAATGTCTCTCGCTTGTTTAAAGAGTAAGGGCATTCCGAAATGATGACATCCCCTTTGCAATCCATGTTTTCCATGAAAAATGGTGAAATAGCACGAGGAGATGATGGAGAACTCACTATAGATGTGCCAGATCTCAAATTCATTTTGGCAAAAACCGGATCCCAATAAAATGCCTCTTCAGGATTAAACCATTTCGACATAGCGTGGTTTTTATTTAAGCGTCCGTCAATTTTTGTGCAAACAATTGGTTTAACTTCATCTAATTTGAGTGGAGGACAGCTGATGAATACGTCGCACATACGTGCTTGTCGGCGGCTTTTTGTAGTTTTATAGCCGTAACATCGAAACCCTTCAAACTCATTATACACGACCTAGAAAAAATGTGTATTAATGTGATAAAAATAATTGTTATACTTAATTTAAAATGTTATATCAAATAACCGATTTGATCTCATCTAGAGTCAATCGAAAAGTTCCGCCGATGATAACGGGCATCTCCTCAATAGCACACAAATTTGCAGTAAAGCTCAAGACCTTTCTCAACAAATTAAGGCAAAGGAGTGTGTCCTTTGTTTCGTCAGTCATCCACGACATTGCCAAAAAACTAACATCATGTATCCTTGATTAACATAACCACATTTATATATTTTTATGTTCAGTATATTGTAGATGCCTCAAACTAAATTACGAGTTATATACATTGTATATTTTCATTCTCTCACTCCTTATTTAAAAATTTTAAAATAAGACTAACATTTTCGATTTCATTTTACAAAGTGCATAATTGGTTTCAGGCAAGTAGAAACGTGCGAGACGACCTCTCATCTCCAGGTCTCTCAAGAAATGCCTGTACTGTGTTTCATCGTTAGCCTGGGCAATTGAAATATTAACAAATCTAGGTTGTCATATTTTCAAAAAAAATGTATGGCAAATTTTTACCTGAGTAAACTTTTTGTTGTAAATTATCAATGCGCGTTGATTACCAACAAACTCGCAGTTTTTAGGTATCTGAGACATTCGAAAACCACATTGCTGTCCAAAGACAATATTAATCTTTTTAGAGTTAACGAGATACTCAATAAAAGATTGACTTAGTTCTTTGATTTCTTGCCCTTTAAATTTTCCACTTAAATTCATCGATACCAAATTGGCAATGAGATCTCCCTGAAGAGTTGGCAGTTCAACTTTCGTGGACATTTTTTGTATTCGATGATGACCTTGGTAATTTAAATGATTAAAATTTTCTTTATAAGAGCGCTCACAGTGACGCAAAATTGAAACCAATTACTTTTTTCTTATTTAATTATTTATATACAAATTTATTATTTAAATATAACATTTAATTGTATTTTTATCCAAAAAATTTAAAAACAGCAGATTATATCGAAAAATAAGTAGAAAATAACATATACATCTAATCAACATTCAAGTTCATCGGACGGAACACGTTACACGAGCAGATTTCTCGATCGACACAGCGCATAAATAATGTACAATATACATTCAAATCAAAAATATTTCATTATTACAACCTTAACCGTTTCAACCTTTACTAGATTTTGCTTACAATAGATTTTGATCTGTTGTTTTATTTTAAGTGTTTAATTCGAAAAAATATTTGTAAATAAAATCGTAAATTAAAAGCAACGATGTGAAGCTTTTGAGCCTCTAAAGCAGTTAAGGTAAACTTATTCTGTACAATTTATTGATTAGTATCGTACAGATATGTTCATCATCATCATTTCTTCAACATCTGCTCACTATGAGTCAACGCAACTTAATTATTCATGAATATTATCATTTAAATAATCATGAAAGTAAATATCAACATCAATTTGAACATTCGCTAAACATAATTGCTTCCAGTCGAAAAAAATTACTTCTATTTAATCTGGTTAAAAAATACCGTAAAATATACATAAAAAAATTTGGGCAATAAATGTATGATTTATCACAAATACTATAATAGTGTTTTATTTTTTATTATTAGAGCTGTTGAATCGACATGCAGTTTTCATGTTGAACGGGTTAAAATGCATACAGAACTCTGGCTGGTCTGTCTATTGAAATACGTGATGCGTTTTTACAGATGCCTGCAGATGCTTGTTTTGAAAGTTTGTTAAATATAAAACAAAATAACAAAAAATTATAATGTAGAGTTCAGGTGGCAGACAGCATTGACGGAAGAGGCCAAAATTTGAGCAATTTCAAAATTTGACGGGGCCTAAGAAATTAGCCAAATGTTGGCTAATGTGGCCAAAATTAGGCTGGTCATCTTTTTTTGCTTATAAAGCCAAATTATGGTGAATTGTTTTTACTTAAAACGGTGTTTTCTATCTAATAACTGACTTTTAATAATATTACTGCTCACAAACAGGGACCCTCCCTTGTAGCGTTCTAGTTTGAAAATAAGAAGATATTTAGATATTTGTTTCTCAATCAAAATGTATTTTTCTAAAAATTATTCATATAAAAGATCGTTTATGTTTGCATGCTTTCTTTATTATATATTTGCATCACTTTTTAATAAGTTTTTGTTTGCGATCATTTGATAGATTTCAATATATGAAAGACAGTTTGTCAGATTAAAAAGTTTTTTCATTAATGTATGTTAGATTATTTGGAAATTTACCCCAACACTTAAATGAAAATTGATGAAATACCTCATTAAATTACGAACATGCAAAATAGCATAATAATCGCATAATCAAGCCCATGATCTTTTAGTCTTCTTTGCAATTGGTCCTAGTTGGCATGAAAATATTTGTCGGTATAGTTGAATATGACGGCGTCATCGACTAATTGATCCATTATTCACTGCATTTTAAACCTTAAAAATGCTACTGGAGGATGCTTTTATGAGGTTTCCACATAAAAAGTCATGATAAAAAGTCATATTATTCAATGATTCCATCTGTAAATTTAAAAATAATGTTTACTGACAAGCATCGACAAAACCGAGCAGAATCAAAAGTTTGTTGAATGCAATGTGTTCATCCGTGAGTCCATTCCATTTGAACTTATGAGATAACTTTCATTTAACTTAAAAAATCTCACCATTCATCTTAAATCACACTCTTGATATTTTATGGGGTTACATATTAATTTATTACCTATATGTGTATATGAGAGTGAATGTGTTTGTATTTTTAACTGTTCATTTTTATTTTTTAATTGTTTGTTAATATCTTATTGTAGCTGGGAAAAGCACTTAAAAAGAATTGAGAAAAAACCCTGATTCACATTAACGTTTATAAACTACTGAACTTTTCGACATCTGAACTTTTTTCATGCTTCAGAGGTTGGATAACTTAGATTATAATATTTGTCAAGGCCTGACATATCACTATTTCATTAAGTTTAGAGACATCTATGAACAAAGTCTAAAAATTTATAATAGATAATTAATTTATTTTGATTTTTAGATATTTCTTATTTTTGTTATTTTATATTCTAAAAACATTCGGTTAATTGACCATCTTCAGCTGCTTGACTATTTGGATAGTTTGCATGAAAATGATTTTTATATTATTTAATTATTGAATGCGTTGAAAGAAACAACGTGGTTCATAAACGCGTGGCTACACTGGTTCATGTTTAATTACAGAATCGATTGAAATCCAGTTTTAAAACAAGACAAATAGAGTTCAAGACCAAGACGAAACTTTCGGAGAGCATATTTCGCTCGAGACATTTGAGGACAAGACAAGAAATTCAAGACAAAGTGAGACCAAGACCAAGTCGCCAAAAATTAGATGTTGTGTGCGTTCACTTATATGCGTATGTGTATATTTGTTCCTATTATTATTATTATTATTATTATTATTATTATTATTATTATTATTCCAAGCCAATTTGTACAGCGCTAATTACAAAAAAAGATCTCAAAAGCGCTCCCTAAAATAAATGAAAAAACCAAATATTTATCAAACGAAGACAAAGACATTGTTAAATCTGCGAAAATAAATGAGTCTTCAGCTCCTTTTTAAATAAAAACAATGATATATCCGGTCTTCTTAGAAACACTGGTAGACTGTTCCAAACCACCGGTCCAGCAACAGCAATATTGCGTGATCCGGTCTGTAAATTCGTTGTCGGCACAACCAGGAGGTTCATGTCATTTGATCTCAACTGCGAACCCAACACAGATGTTTTTCTGATGAACATGTCTGCCAAATACTGTGGTGCTAAACCATGTAATGACCGAAACGTTAAGACAGCAATTTTAAAAATTATTCTTTTTTCAATTTTTAGCCAGTGTAGGTCATTCAAGATTGGAGTCACGTGATCGAACTTCAGATTTTTTGTGACAAGTTTTGCAGCTCGATTTTGAATAGACTGAAGTACAGCTATTGACTTGTCAGGTATTTTAAAGTATAAACTGTTACAATAATTTAATCTGGATATAATAAAAGCTTGTACCAGTGTTTCCATGCTAGATCTGTTCGAATAGTGTCGAATCTTGTACAATTTTCTGAAATGCATCATACTTGCAATTGATAGCGACTTTATTTGATCCTTCATTGAGAGCCTGCTATCCAACCATACCCCCAAATTCAAGGCTGTAGAAGCAAATGATATTTCAACGTCACCAACTTCAACCGAGTTTATATTAAGTCCTATATATATATATGTATATATATATACATATATATATATATATATAAGTATATATATACATATTATATGTGAACATACACTCACACACACATACACACACGCACACGCACGCATGCATGCACACACAGAATATATATACGTGTATATACTCTATTACTTATATTGTATGCACGAATATGATATCGATGAAAAGCGAAAGCTTGCCCATATTTAATGAATGTGATGATGATGGGGAGGACGATGATGATGAGAGAGGCAATTAAAACTTCAAAACGGATCTAAATCTACGTCTACATATGAGTTTGACGTATGTACATTCATCGCTAACCAAAAGAACCTCAATTGCCTTTATATTGTAAAATTAAAATATAGAAACTTAAATAGCCCACTTTGGTTGGAATCTTACAATGGTTAGATTTGCTTGCATCTTCTTCTATTCAACATATTCATATAAAAAAATATGTCTTATTCCTTCTTATTTATTTTAGTTATTAATTATTAACAAATATGTAACATTAAGATTAAAAATTGAAGTTAAAGAAAATCATATATTCTTATAATTCTTATCTTATGTTTATTTTATTTACGTTATGATGTTTAATTTCACCCATACACATTTAATAATTTCATATAATAAAACTCATTAAAAAAAATTCTGCTTAATTTTAAGTCGTAGAGTTTGGACAGGTAAAGCTTTTAATATCGCATTTCGTATCCATAAATTTTTACTATTTTTTCTGTCTTTTTCGTTTCAATACATGCAATACATGGTTTGAAAGTAAAAAATTAAATGAAGAATTTTTCATTCAATTCGATGCTTTTTAAAACGGTTTTATTTATGTATGAGAAGAATTTTTTTCTATAGCGGATATAATTAAGACAAGGCAATTGAAATAGTTTCGTTAATTATTCATAACTATTTCATCAGTTGCTTTATCAGACTATTCAGAGTTAATGTTCCCTAGAAAATGAATAAGCCAAAACGCAAGGAAATAGAGGATAATTAACTTTGAAGGAAATAGAGGATAATTAACTTTGGCAAATGTTTATTTTTGTTTCTTAGCTTTAGGTTAATACCAAGCTTATTAAAAAAAAAAGAAATTTTGAATTAAATGTGTTAATAATAACGAAAGTGTATAAATAAAGTTATTTTTGTTTGTCTGTTATAATATAAACGAGTTAATTTCTCCGTTCATCAATTTTCAATAACACCGTGAAAATAGCTGTCATTTCATAATTCAATTTATTATATTGTGTAGAAAATATTATATAATGTACATAATAGTATATAATGTACATAAATTTGTATATAATGTACAAATATATATATATATATATTTACAATATATACACTCATATACATACATATACTCGCACATGTACATACATACATATATATGTGTGACATGTGGTAGAAAACATAGAAGCAAAAATATACAAAAGCGGTATCGAAAATTAAAATTAAAGTCCTCATTCACTCGGTTATAGAGTTCACTGTACCTTTGTTTCAAGGATACAAATAGAAAGACGATGGAGCAATCTTAGATGAAACTTTGGTAAAGATCAGTAGTCCGGAACATGTTAAATGGTAGGATTAAAATATCTGAGAAGCAAGCTAGCAATAAGCTGTTCAACGGTTTTAAAAGATAAAAATATTGGAAATTGATCTAAAACTCAGACTCTTTTAACAGAAATGACACAACTGCCATTTTTGTGATTTTTTTTACACAATTTATGATAAAATATATTTGTTGATCATAATTTTGAGAAATGGCGAGTCTTTCTAACAACTATTTGACCACAAATATTGACTCTGGGTCCAGGTCATAATATTTTATAAGTAACGTTTTAAACGCAGTTCTTATTTTGTCTAATGTAATTTGTAATTTGAGTGAAACAGTCGAAACAAAAATTGTGACATTGCTCATTTTGTAGAGCTTAATAGCAGTGATCTTTATAAATAATTGTGTTTATGATAGTCTAAACCTAAATAAATATATATATATATATATATATAATGAAATATATATAGTATCATATATATATATGGATATAATATTATATATATCCATGGTGTAGAATGCCAAATGACAGGTTAATTATCCAAAAATAAAAACCTAAAGAAAAAAGTATTGAAACGTACCAAAAAATGGGTAGACAACATCACGGAATGAACTTGGACGGGTACATTCAATAAAATTGGCCAAAGATAAAAACGAATTTTGGGTGAACGCCATTGGCCTTGATAGTCACCATAGGGATTAAAGAGGATGATTAGTTGACTGATTGATTAATTAATTAATCTCAGTATACAGTCGATTATTGCTAAGTCATATGCTTGCAAACGCACGCATTCAATTACACACATCAAAATACAGAAACACACACAAACACAAAATATGTATGAATGTGTGTGTGTTATATATTCACGTGCATCGATGGATGAAGACAGCGCGTTAGATGTTCTGTGCTGTCAGTCTGATGTTTAGGTCCATATTCACGTTTTTTTGTGCTCACAATCTTACATAAAATTTTTGATATTCCGAGTTTTTCTAAAATAATCAAGAAACACACACACACACACACACACACATATATATATATATATATATATATATATTATTTCATTTGTATTGTACTTATATATATATATATGTGTGTGTGTGTGTGTGTGTGTGCGTGCCTGTATGCCTGTGTGTATGTGTAGAATCAGTAGAACCAAAACATCAGGATCGGTTTCAACAATCCACACAGATACTCGCACACATGGCTCAATTGTAATATGTGTATTGTGAAAGTCTATAGACCTTATATATGGTATATACATGTATATATTTCGAGATCCTTTGTCTGTGTATGTATATACACACATTATATAGATATATATACATCTATACGTACAAACCTATATACACTTATGTACGTATACTTTTGTAGTATTGTATATACTTGTTTGTATAACGTGCGAGCATAGTACATAATATATTTGGAAGGCAATTTGTATTACGAAGTAGATGCACATGTGTGCGGATATGCACAGGCACACACGTATACAATAATTATACATTAGTATGTGTGCTGTTTGTGGTTAATTTGCCGGTCCTATCCACTGCGCGCTATTTCGTGGAGTTTGTAGTTTCTGTTGCACCGGGTTTTGTATATTATTGTTTTTTTTTCATTTAGTTTCTTCTATTAAATATTTTGATCGATGCAATTTTATATATAATCTTGTTTTTGTTTTCACACAAACTTGATAAAAACTATTAAATTCACCAGCTCGCTGATTGTCTTATTTTATTTGTATTGCTATCACTACTTAGTATACCATCACGTGTTTTAATTCAATTGATTTCAGTTCTATATTGCTTCATTCATGTTATGATGTGTTATGTTGTGTTATGTTGTTGGATTTTTATTGTGCTTATAATTTGCTTGCCAAATTAACTTCCAATGGCATTACGATTGGATAGAGAAGTAAATGCTTTTTGATTCTTTGGTTGTACTAGCTTACTAACTTGTAATACTTATTTTATTTAAATTTTCAAATATATAGTAAAAACTTGAAAGGTTATTATTTATTTTACAAATGGTTGGTAAATACTGAAACTGGTTCCAAAAAATGACAATATTATTATTTATAATGCCATATATATATATAATATATATGGAGTTGCAAAGTGTTACTATAAAATATAAATATTATTATTTTATTAGAAGATTAGATTAGAGATTTCTATATATATATGTAATGTTCAAATATTGTAATTTTTAATCTAATGAGAAAAGGTTTCTTATACCTAAGCATTACCAAACAATATAAAACTGTATACAGTTTACAGTACAAGCCACCTTAACTTAAAAGTAAAACTTAATAATAGACTAATGACTAATCCATGTATGATACAGACACACATACCACACCACACATATGCACACCACACACACGCACACACACACATGAACTTATAATAAATATTTTTATAAAGAATGATTAACAATAACACATGTGACATAATTGTTTGTTTATAATTTATACATTTTACATCAGTCATTTTCATTTAACAAATCAGATATGTGATCAATTAATTTCCACATTCAAAAAACTCATTAAATATAAAATTAAAAATATTTACAGCATTTTATTTATTAATCTATAATATATTTTATTCACAATATATATAATGTTATTTGTTAACCTTAAAGTGTTATATTTCCACTCAATGTTCACATAGGCCCTCAACGAAACCTCGAATTTCAATGAAAATTCTGGAGATTCAAGTTGCTTGTTAACCAGCCAAAAGAACCCACAAGGAACCATGTTGACAATTAAAGATGATATGAGTGGTGAGCATGATCAAAGTAAGACCAAGTATCATGTCACAGATGAAGTAAAGAACTCAGTGCTCTGTAAGGTGCTAATGCTAGATGGTACCGACTTCAAAGTACACATCCATGTATGTTTTATATCTTTTCTTCTCCATGTTTCATGTTTATTGTTCATCTTTGCTTCAAATAATTCATTTCCATTGGTTTTAATATTTATGTCACTTCAGAAAAATGCAATAGGACAAGTACTATTCTTGAAGTCTTGTGAGCATTTGAGTTTGCTGGAAAAGGAATATTTTTCAATTACTTTTAAGGAAGCCAATGGCACAAAGGTATACACCGCAACAGATCAAAACAATCACCACACAGCTCATGCTTTCTTTCATCATTCATATGATTTTGAACTAACATTTGCAAAGTGCCTGATGAATGGGTCCCTGTTTCTGTTTCATTATCTTGCACTTGGTGTTCATTTTACACTTTTAACACTAACCAGTCACTCACTATGTGACTCATTCATTCATTCATTCATTCATTTTATTCATTCATCCATTTTATTCATTCATTTATTGCTCATTTAATAGGTTTGGCTCCAGCATGATAAGCCTATTGCCAAGCAGTTGAACAGTATGTAGTAATGCCGCATTTCATATTTTCATATTAAAATTTATCACATTTTAATTAGATTTATAATTTACAATATATTGAAATGAATATTATATATTTCCAAAATCATTTCAGAATTGAAATGGGAATTTTCTTTTGAAGTGAAGTTCTACCCGCAAGATCCATGCAATTTGAAAGAGGAATTAACCAGGTTTCTTTTTATTCTTTCTTTCATTATTTATTTATTTATTCATTTAAAATAATTGTCATTACTATTCTCGCTATTACTATTTCTATTGCTCTCACTTTTGATCTGAACATGAAAAGAGGAGAAGGTTGATTGATTGATATATAAGATCAGCCAATATGTGAAAGCTAAACTAGATACAGAATTGGAGATAATAACAAATTTATGAATAAAGATAGTAACTTTCTAAAAGCTCATTAAGATCTATCATGACAAGTCCTGATCATATCCACAAATGGGATTTTAAATTTAAATAATACAAAACTAATCCGTTGATTCAAAATTTGAATTTTATCGAGAAAGTTCTGCTACTGAATTATACAACTACAAGGATAACAAGTGACAACTTAATGAATGTTGTAGATTAAAGGGTAGAAAATTACCTGTAGTCTGCAAATAGTGATGATGTCTTTGAAAGTTGATGGTAATTAACTCCCGCAAACAATAATTAGACAAGACAAATTAAAGGTCCAGTGATGGTGGTATGTTGGTGGGTGATCGATGAGAATACAAATATTTCATTATCTTAAATAATACTAGACATAGCAAATGTTCACCATTGAAAATAATACAACCAAAAGCAGATTAATGATAATATAATATAGTTAAATAGATGTTATGCAGAGTAAATATGCGCTGTGATGCTGTTTTGTTAGCATAACGTAATGACAAGCTGGAATTATGTTTTTATAGATTAATTGCTTGTTGTTCACCATTTATCATCTTGATGTATTTGTTTATTTTATCTTAGGTATCAGATGTATTTGCAAGTCAGGGTGGATATTTTGGCGGGAAGGTGAGTTAATCTTTAATTTGGCATGATCCTAGGACAGTGCCTGCAATTGAATTGAAAACAAATTATTTACACGTAAATAAGTTGCTGTAATTTGTAGGTTAGAGTTTTTTTCAAAATAAAATTTATATTTCTAAGAGTCTTTTCACGCTTTTTAATCATGTGCACTCACTCATTCATTCTTATCTCAAGCACTGTTCTAGGTTTTTGCCTTTTATTTTATTTATTTATTTTTTTTTATCAATACCTGTTTTTATTAAAATTATTTTTTTTTTCATTTAAAAAATGTGTTTTAAATTATTCTTCAAACATGTTCAGTATCGTTTATTTATTGTTTTCGAATTATGCCATAGTTTAAAATGAAACACACATTTATTCCTAGAGGTATTTTAAAATTGAAACAAATTATTGTAAAACCTAACTCGTAAGCTTGTTGAGTGGCTACAATAAATATCTTCCATAGATAACGTTTGCACAAACAGAAAGTTAAAACTTAATCGTAGCTTGAGTGAGCTCAAGACAAGTGGTGTATAAGTGCTGCAAAATTTAATGCTCTCTAAAAATCATTTCCTAGAATAATACATCCAACCGTAGCTAACAATAAATTTCTACTTTTTTATGCCATTAATATTCCGACGGAAAAATAATAATTTTACTTTGGTTAAATGGTAATATGGTTTGTCGTTAATAGTAAGTAGGTAATTGTAGTTATAGCAATCGTAACATTCTCTGGATCATCGAATCTGCCTGGTTGCTGCAATAGCGTGTAACACCACTGTTTCTATGTATGTACTGGACACGGACAGGATAAATGATTCTGTATGAAAGGTTTTGAAGATGTTGACGTCAGTATGCTAATGAGACAGCTCTATTTTGTTTACCCATTGAGCTTGCTAACAGGATGTTCTTCAAATCTGCTGTATATTTTTCGTCATGATAATTTTCTAATTTTAAAGAGTTATTATAATTATATTATTATTATACAACACTTTTTATATATATATATAAGTATATATATTATATGTGTATGATATTTGTATATTATCTTTTTATCATTGCTATTATTTGTTAAATGTAATTAATGTCAGAAGATGAAAAGTTACATGAGATGCGTCAATTTTCCATTTAATCAATTTTAACTAAAAAATTTTCGAAATGATTTAAACGTGAAACAAACGGTTACTCACAAAGTTTAAAATTATGTACGCAGATTGCTTTGTTCCCATCACGCCAATGCCATCCTCGGCGGGTACGCCTGCCAATCGCAACTCGGGGACTGGGACCCTAACGAGCATGACCAGGGCTTCGAGTATGTTAAAAATTTGAAGTTCTGCCCCGGCCAGACTGATGATCTGATTGAAGCCATTGCAGAGCAGCACAAAGACAATCAGTTATTAAATTTTGTCAATTTTTTTGAAAAATTTCTATTGCTGCCAATTGTTACATGCTTCTGAAATAAATGTTTGTTACATGAAATTATAAATTTATACATTGGTGTTTGTATTTATCTTGCGTATTATATGTTCACTCACCATCTTGATACACATTAATTATTATTGATTTAAATTCAAAACATTTTCAATTTTCCTCTTTTCATGTGACTTAAACGTTTTAGCCACTTGAATTGCATTTATAAACAGCAAACCAAATTGTATGATAAATATTGAATCCCATTGCATGCAGTGGCATGGAAGCAGCTGAGGCAGAGTACAGGTACCTGGAAAATGTCAGAACCATGTCTCTTTATGGAGTGCACATGATCAATGCGAGGGTTAGATGTAACTTCAATGTAGTCTTGTTAATTTCAATTGATCAGTTAGTTACTTTTCATTATAAAAAATAGTACAACGTTAAACTTATTCCTGTTAATTACACCTACACACAAATGTTTTTTACGGCCAGGATGAAGACCACAGACAAGTTTCATTGGGCATATGTGCGGATGGCCTGCTGGTGTTCATGGAGAGGATAAGATTGCACAGATACGTCTGGGCTAAAATAATGAAGATTGCTTACAAAAGAAACAAGTTTACTATCCACGTTCGACCAGATAGTCCAAAGGAGCCAGTACGCTATGCTGCCTCAGTTATCTTGCTATCTTGTTTTTTTTTCAGTTTATTTTGTTTTAAAATTTAATGAATAATTAGAAGTTTGATTAATTGTTGGATGTTTCGAATGATGTTTCGTTTCAGATTCCATTAGTAGTGTACCATCTCCTGAACTACAAGACTGCCAAGAGAACCTGGAGACTTGCTGTTGAACATCACATGTTCTTCAGGTATTTGTTTATTGACGTTTTCGTGTAAATATATTCATTGATAACAAAAGGCTTTAAAATTTTGCTGGCTACAGTTTGTTATAATTGATGCAAATGTGTTTCAAACTTTTAGGATAAATGTTGAAATTTAAATTGGTATGTTAGCATCTGTTATAGTCACTTTTAGAGGCATTTGTATATAACTAAAGCAGTTTATAAAATTGTACAAGCTACTGAGACTCATTCAAAAATCGATCCAGGCACTTCTCTAATGAATGAGATAATGTTATGGTTGATTTTGTGATGTTTTTCTTGCCTATTGAAGACCATCACAACCCATAAATTATATTTTAAACTGATATTCTAACACTACTAGTATTTCAGCAATAAGTCATTGCAATTGAAAATTGAAATTAAGCATAATTTTATCGTGCTACCACCGTAAAATTGTCTCATTTTTCAAAATCATCTCATGTTATATAATTATTTGCGCAACAAAACAACAGACTGAAGGAGCCAAACGAGGTAGGCAGAGGAGTGTTCACGAGGAAAGGTGCCACTTATTGTGGAGTCACTCAGTACCAAGCAGGGAGAGCAGCGGAAAATATACAGAGGGAGACAACGAACTTTCCCAGAGAGTACCACACCATGGGTAGAGGTGGACTCGATGCCCAGCGAGACATGGGTAATTATAATTAGAATTGCATATTGATTTTTTTTCCAATTTCGGAGTTTCGAGTCAACGTTTTTAATTGTTCATTGGTTAGTTTTGAGTATTTTTGCTAGTGCTTTTGAGTTTCACAGTAAATTTATTATTGTTGAATTTTAAAAAATATGTAGCTAGAACAGCAAAAGATAATAATGTCTGGTGGGATGAAAATTTACTTTGAACCACGAACATTCCAAACAGGATACAATTACCTGACGATGACAGTAGACAGAACAGAGGAGACCATCTCAGTGAGTCACACAACTCGCACACTGGATAGAACGAATAGAAAGAACAAACCTTCCATGCAAGATAATAATGACTTTGAAAATCAAGAAAATGTTTGTATACATTGACACGATCATTTTAAATAATATTTCTCTTTAGAGCTTTTAAATAATTTTTATTAGGTTAGCCTTGTATTAAAATGTTAATTTCCATTTCTATTGTCTGTTAGCTTGAACTGACAGTTCATTTTTTGCTGCCAAAAATATTACCCAATGAACAATTTTAAGAGTCCAGGTGGTTTAATAAATCTTTTATTTGTTAATCTCTACCTTTTCTTTCAGTTCATCAACTTTTTCTTCATAAACTCTACAATTCTAGGTTCTGCAGCTATTTAAATTCTGGAGTTTTCTTTTAAAATAAAATTTGTGCAAACGCAGATGATTCCGGTGTACGATGATGATGGCAATCTGTTGGCCTACAAGAAGATTGAGATGACTTCTGATTTCCAGAATGATGTCTTCATGACTTCACCAAGACAGAATTATGGAAGTGATTATGGACGAGTATGTATTGGCTGACACCGTTCATGACTTTGTGCATTATGATTGGAATGCATCTTATTTGTTATGAAACGTGAAAGTTTAAAGGCATTTTCTTGGATAGATGGTCGTCAATAATATTCTTGTGCTCTTCATTATTTACGTATTCAGACTTTCTGTTAAACACACTTGCTTTTGAAACACCTATCAGGATGGAGCACATGTGACTATGAGCGCAGGGGTAAGTGACAGTCAGGGCATGACATACAGCAAGACTCCCTACCCCACTGGACCGGGAAGCATGACTCCTGGCAGCGGACCCGGGTTCGACTCCACGTTCAACAGAAGCAATCCAAACAGTCCATCATATGGTCTGAATGATGATTTCCACGCACAAGCGTCTGGAAACAAAAGTCCTGGAGGATTTTTACAGGAACCTTGGGTTGGTAATCTTTGGAATGATTTGAAATTAGTGATTCAGGCCTTGATGCATTAGAAAAAACAAAAGTGTTAGAAAAAGAAAAAAACATTAGTGAAACATTATTTCAGTCTTGTTAAGATTGTAAAAATTTGATAATTGAGCCAGTTTGTGGTAATACAAATTGCTCATGTGATGAAACTGTGAGTAGTGTGCTTGTTTCAATTAACATTTTTTAATAATGATAAGAAGACGTGAACAATAAATTGGATTTTTTCAATATAGATATGGTTCAAATTTACTTTTATATCCTTGCCATTTTAAAATCTAGTACAAAACAAAATGTTGGCATGAATTTTAAACAGATGGATAGGTCGAACACCCACCTGAGCCAGCAGGGAGGTGCCAACAAATTGAACGTCATGCAACAGGATGAATTTCATTCACAAACATATGGAAACAAGAGTCCGGGAGGATTCCCACAAGATACATGGGTTCGTATCTCTATCTATCAATATATTTTTGTGGGATTATAACTACGTTTTCATGAATGCGTCTGAATGCACATTCACATGTTGTATTAAAACGAACTTTCTTGGGTTCAGCTTCAGGTGGCTATGATTTATGAGTTTTTGATTTTTTCCCCAAACTGTATAGACAGCCATTTTTTTTTAAATATTTTTTGTTTTTGGAGATAAATAAAAATTCGTTTCGTTCATAGAAGCTTGTATGCATCAACTAGCTTCCGTTTTGTGTCGGAAAAGCAAGATTTACAACAGCTCATTACAAAGACCTTGAGTTTTTTTTAGAAGTATAATATATTTATTAATGATTTCAATTCAAAAAGAAATTTGCATCTTGATTTATGGTAGAAGAAGTTAAAAGTACCTGTATGCGCTAAAAATGAAAAATATTTTGATGATAGATAAGTGAAATTTTCTGAAAAGGTTTATTATGTGAAAGGTGATGATTAAGTAAAGATATAGTTTTTACTTTGACGTTCATTTGTTTTAATTAAACACCACACAAAGTACTACTGCATTAAATAAAATGTATCTTATATAACTAACTTTTAAAGGTGGACAGATCAAATGCCCACATGAACCAGGGAGGTGCCAGCAAAGTTAATGTTGGATACGACCAGGTTGGTACCCTAAACAGTATTTGTGTATTTTCTGATAGTCTCTTTATGTAAAATTTGTTTATACGTCACTCAAATTTTATTCTTTTGTTAAACCGTTGGTACTTATGTATATCTATATCTATTTATTTTACCATTTATTTTACTTTTAGGTTTTGTTATATTCATTTCAATATATACGATCTCGTTGAGACAGTTCAACTGATTTATTTATTTTGGGTACTCTGCATCACAGGATGGAACTGGTCATGCAGGTACTTTCCAGGACGATCACATGCGACAACAGATGGTTGGCAGCGGTCAAATCATGGGAGAAGCAGGTTGGGGACCCTACTCAGTCAGTGGTCAGACGAAAACTCTGACTCGTACGTACACTGATTCTGATGGAACTGTCGTTACAGAGGTCGGTTGACACATTCATCCCATATAATGTTTTGGAAATTATAAGTTGATTGAATAAAAAATAAGCACGTTTTCTTATTTTGCCTTAAATTTTGATGGGCGATTGGCTTGATCGAGATCAATTTGAAGTACTACTGGTGGATAAATAAAAGAAATTTCAATTTTTTTTTTAAATAAACCAAAAACACTTTCCTTCACATTTGATCATTGAGTTTTGAAATCAACTAACCTCACTAACTCTAACGATTAACACGTGCACGCACAATGCAGAGAAGAGTGGAAAAAAATGGAGTCATTGAAACTTTTGTTGAAAAGAAGAGGACTGCCACCACAGCTGATGACGTCGAAGAAGATGATTACGACAAGGTAGTTAATGATTGCGTTTCCTCCAATTGTCAAGTTGATATCTTTCAATCGTTTTTTCGTATATTTGATTCCATTTCAGTTAAACAACAGCTAGTTAGCTTTCGTACACTTGTTTTTATGTTATTCATTAGGTAAGTCTTAGTTAATGAAGAATTTCCAGTTTGGAAAATGAATATTAGTTGGTTACGAAAGCTTTAATTTTTCATTAAATTTTGTATATCTATAATAGATATTGACTATACTCTAGTTATTATTTTTGATAATTTTCAATGATAATAATAATTTAAATTAAATTATGAACGAATTATTAAAACTCAGATGTTGGCAGATGCAATAAGAAATGTAACCGACATGAACCCCGATTTGTCGGTTGAGAAAATTGAAATCACCAAAGCTGATTGATGTTAATTATTTCAGAGCATTTACTTTTTTTTCACATTTTTATACTTTCATTACTCTCAATCGATGTAATTAGTATACTAATATTTTTATTGTAACTGACATGACATTTTTTTCTTTTTAGAGGTCTTCATAGTCATTCAAAACGCTTACAATGTCAATCTAAACGAATTTTATTTTTATGTTTTTTGAATGTAATTTATACATGCTACGTGAAGCAATTATAACCAGTTTTATAGGGATGAATCTGGAGATGTTCATGCAAACCCAAATTAATTGCAAGGTTTGCCGACAAGTCCTAGTGAAACTTTTAACATCTGATTTTATATTTTCAAAGTATAAAATGTCATTCATGTATGTTATGCCTTTCCTCCGAAACATTCTACCAAGTGCATTCTTATAGACTATCAGGTTTTACGTTTTTTTCTTATTTATTTGTATGTCTTCTTGATACAAATCTTGTCGTCAGTATTTATAAATGTTTTGATATTAAAGTTTGTTGAAGTGGTATTTAAATGAGCTCCGCCCTACCAGTATTAACTATGCTTTTACGAAATTTCATTTTAAATTAACGCAGTAATCAATTTCTATTGATCTGCCTTGAAAGTTGTTTGGAAATAAAAAGCACAAAATAATTCTTTATAATTTATTTTAGGTGTACTGAATATAGATTAAGTACAATGAAATACATATTATATAGGTGGTACATAACTAACTACAGCTGCACACAAATGTATCAGATATCAACACGCATTTAAATATCAGTTTGTGCATAAGGAATAAACGCGAATTCACGGGATAGGCACTGCATCCAAAACGTTGATGTTAATGTTGATGTCAGCTTTGCTTGCTGTGTGATGCTTATACTTTACAAATGTTCATCTTATGTAGTCGCACACGGTTAATTCAAAAAATAGAAAAAAATGTACAAGTTGGGAAAACTAAGAGTGGTGCAAAAAAACGAAACAACGTAGCAAATAAAATAAAATCATGACTGCGTATAAAGTTTTGACAAATCGTACACAGAATTTCATCAGAAATAAACAAAAACAAATCATGGACATGATATATGAAAATAAATTTATTTATGATTATGATCAATACAAACCATTTACGAAATAACTTATTTAGAAGATTAACGAAGATTTAAAATTTAACGAAGTACGTTGCTTGTGTGTATGCTAAGAGTATTTGTGTTGTACGTTTGCATGTGTTGATGTCATGTTGATGTATCTACATACAAACAACCACCACGATGATATGATACTAGGGCAAGAAAACAAGACTACAGATTCTGTTGCTCAGCTTATTACGTAATCTGTGACGTTACTAGATATTCTAAAATTGAGGAAACCTTGATTGGAATTTGGCTTTTGTGGCACTTGGTCCTCCAGACGATGACTTAATTGTCGTTGTTCTGTCCTTCATGTCATTCGTATTTTGCATTAGAGATTTTGGCTTTTTATAAAAAAATATGGAGAAATTTTTTAATGTTATAATTCTATTAAATTTATTTTTTAATGTGATTCAAAGCAACTTTATGAAAGAAGTGATGCCATGCTACGTAGCGGTCAGAACTTGAATCTAAGCGTGGTAGCCAAGGCGTGGCGATCTCGTTAGTTTCTAATCTTGTTTTGTATCTTCCGGGCTCAGACGTTTGTTTAAATGAACGAGTATGGGGACCCAAATGATTTAAAATAAGATACAGATAGCACTTAGATCGTCATTCCTTCCTTAGTCTAATCTTTCCAATCTAATCTAAACTATTCAAAAGGCAATCGTCACAAATGTCACTGTTTAGCCAAACAGTTATTTATTGGAAGAAGAACGACGACATTATATATGAGAAAAATTCCATTCTGTAAAATAAGCAGCTGAAATAATATTAGTTAACCGAGTAAATTTGAAAAACAAATAATTTCAACAGAAAAAGTAAAAATCCAACCAAATGGTTCCTCGGTGATGGAGAAAATGTCTGCTGCTCGTGAGAAAAGAGTTGATGATTCCAATCTGGATTACTCTGATGAAGGTGTTGCGACTGATTCTGAGAAAGAAACCTGGAACGAGGTGTTGGGGTGGGTTGGTTTCTGTGAAGGAGTGGTCGAGGAGTAAGTTCTTCATCTGAAAATTTGCTGTTGACGTTATTAGTGGTGACGTCATCGTTGAGGTCATCGTTGCTATTATCGATACTTCTGAAGGCCTCATCGTCGTGATCGTCATCATTGTGCTGCCCATGTCCTCTTTCATGCACGTGTCTCTTCGTCATTGACGGCGTTTTCGGTCTGAAGGTTTTTTTAAACTGGAAATGACACACATCCCATCCCATTCATGGCAGATATGAATTCTCAATGTACTGAGCTACGTACAAATCAAATAATCCACATTCACATCATCATCACCATCGTCAACGTTGTCGTCATCGCCCTCATCATCATCATCGTCGTCGTCGTCCTCTTGCAAATACTAAAAAATACTCCTTTCGTTAACATCAACTTCGAACGCCAGATCATCGCCATTCTTAATAAGCTACCATAGAAAACATATGTTAAGCTCTTCATAAAAAAGCTAACACAAAAATGTACATCACAAAAGTTATGCCTAATATTTAAAACAAACTTTTTGCCGAAATCTGCATTTAAAATGGTAGAAAAAAATTTGCCAAAAAATGCTATTGCTTCAGCAATGAAACAAAAAGCAAGTTTTGTGAACAATGATGTTAGTTAACAAACCGCCTAAATGAAAAGATGACAACTGGTTACCTGCTCATTGGAGATGGAGGTGAAACGTTTAGCTGTCTTTGCAGCTTCTCATTCTGCCGCTGAAGCTGCTGCTGCTGCTGCTGTGGTTTCAACCATCTTGGCTTTTTATTAACTGACTTTTTATTTTTTGAATGTTGACGTTCAATTACTTCGCCGATATCTCGTTCATCTTGATTATCATCGTTAGTAAAACTGGCACTCCTATCATTCACCTCTGTCGTGTCTTTTGATATCGAAATATTATCTTCCGTGATATCTCCAACAAATTCATCGCGATTATTTTCATTTAGAGTTATTTCTTTATCTTAAACATAAATTAATAAATAAATTAAAATAATATATATATATATGTTTGTGAATATATATATATATATATATACATACACATATATACAATTATTGATGAAAATCCTAGCACGTTCCGCGTTAGTTAGCTTCCTGTTTAATTTTTCTAACGGTTGATCGTAAATCATTGTTAAGTTTCTTGAGTTCAAAACCAACATTTTTATATATTAAAAGCATGATAGGACATTTAAGCATGGTGGAACAAAAAAGGTTTTTTCGATATTCATATACCATGCCATCTTCAGTCTTTGAATAGCAATAGATACATTGTGTATGTAGCCAAATGCTCAAACAAATATATATATCCTACTGTGTCTCTATGTACAATGTTTCTCTATGTACAATGTTAACTCGTTGTTTGTTTAAAGTCAATAGTTAACGGTCATTTATTTAGTTATTACGATCTTCAACTTTGTCCAATATGACACTTTTACGTGTCATCATTATCGATGATTCCTCTGTTTCTAAATATATTAGTGGGAAGGATTCCAGTTGCACGTTGTTGAATATTTATTATCGGATGTCTTTGTTCGACGAGTATTCACTCGGCTAGTTGTAAATTATAATAGTTATTATTTTAATGTAAAATTTCAACATTGTTGTCCAAGATTTGCCTAGTAATTGTAGTTATGTTTCTCTTTCGTGTGATTCTTTATAGCGCCAGTTTGTACGTACATGGTCAGTCTTCTCGATAGCTCGGTAGACGTCATACCAATATATTCGGAATTATAGTGCCCACACTCACCAATATTACATTTGAACGAATATAATATATTCAATCTAATGTATTATATTAGATGGCTATGATTCATTACCGATTCTGACTTACTAGTGCAGTTGTTTTTCATCACGAGAGATTAAGTTTTCTCACGATATATATATATATATATATATATATATATATATATTTATTTTTATTTATTTATTTATATATTTATATATCACGACACAATGGTAGAACACACACACATGTACAGGTGCACACACATGTACACATGCATACACACACATACCTTGCTTATCGTCGTTTTCATCGAAAGAAAATCTAACATCCCACTTGACGTAATTGTTCTTACTGACAACATTCAGCATGTCAACTTTATCGTTCTTTGCACCGGCGTCATCATTGTTCAAGTCAGCATTAACGTTTTGCGTCGCTTGCACATTCTCTTCTCTCTTCTCAGCAGTTCCATCACTTTCATATTTATTCTTCATGGAAACATTACGGTTGTCTGGAGCTGTTAGGTTGTTATCGTGGTTTTCATGCTCTGTTCTTCTTGCCGATTCCATTCCTGTGGCATCTTCCCCCTTCGGAACATCGGTGTCTGTGGTTTGATGTTGTATGATTTGTTGTTGTTGTTGCTGCTGCAGCTGATGTTGTTGCTGCAAAAATGGTTGGGGTTTTAGTTTATTTAGCTGAAGTGTTGGCTTTGACTTTCGTCTAATTTTGTTAAATTTTTTGTGAACATTTCGATTTTTATTTTTCTTGTTTTTCTTTTTAGTTTCTTCAGAAAAATTTGAGTTGTTGAAGTATAAATCGTTGATATCATCATCGTCACTGCTAACAATATCAGTATCGTCTGAAGAGCTGTGTGCTAATACTGTTTGCCTGCTAATATGTTTTTTATCAGTAGTGGATGAACCTTGTGCAACAGTGGCATCTCCCCCACGATCGCGCGTTTTTTTTCGGGGTGATGCTTTTAAAGGGGCTACAGATAAAAAAATAACCACAAACATATTACAAATTGATGAGAGCAAAATCTTCATTCTCACCAAACACCATATGAGAGCAAAATTCAGACAGGTGAATTGAACAGCCCCGCAATAACAACCATCTCATAATAATAGACATATGTTTTGTGTGTGTGTGTTTGTATTTGTGTGCGTGTGTGTGTGTGCGTGTGTGTGCGTGTGTGCATGTAAACGTGCGGCAACATTTGAACTAACGTTTCGGTTGTTTAATCTCAGTTGCTGGTCCAGTGTTGCTGGCGTCTGTTTGCTAAAATTAAGAAACATTAAATAATGTATAATTAAAAATTAAATAATTATAATTATTATAAATTAAAAATATTTTTAAAAGTAACATCATCATCATCGCCATCATCATTGTATAAAAGCAACAAGATCCAATGCGATGTCCATTTCATCAGCCAACATTTGCTCGGGCCACGTCTTCAATCCTCGATCAACGACGGATCCGATTTTAATTTGGCTGACTCCTGCAAGAGTCATCTTTTTCCGACAATCCAGGATTCATTTTCCATCGATCCCAAAATTTCGCGTCACGACACCCACCGGTGCTGGTTATTTTTCCAACATGCACAAACCATTTAATTGCCATTCCAGACCATCACCAACACGCACTCTACATTTCTTTTCTTCTTATTATTACTTCAATCTCTATTTTCCCTTTCCCTGTTTTATTTATCATACATTAGTTTGTTTTATCATACATGCTTCATAAAGTGCATTAACAGCCCTGTGTGAATCACACTGGCTGATGGAATGAGTGGCGTGAGAAAAAAAATCTTAACTAGTTCATAATTCACTCCTAACTGATTTTACTATTGAAATAATATATATGTATATTATATATGTTTCAATATATTTATGACTTTCCATAGT